GGACCCCCCCCCCCCCCCCCCGCATCTGTCCCTTGAGGGTATAGAATTCATGAGTTGATATATTTCTACCCTACATCTAACAGACCTGTAGTGCTTCAGTAAGCTGTATCAACCAGCAAACGATCAACTTTTCAGGAAGTTCGGGGTCCGTCACACTGGCTATAAACTTCTTCAAGTCTCCTCCAAAACAGAATTCAGTGAATATATAGATATATTCGGGTGTTCTTACAGACGAGATAATATTCAGAATGAAAGGATGTTTAGCTTTCTCCATCATCTCTACCTCTGATTCAGATTTAACTATTTGTTCTCTCGATAGTCCTGATAAATGAATATCTTTTCTCGCGAACTGAAAAATAGTATAAAAAAAATAGTATATTATCTACTTTGCCATATAAACTGATTATTAATATGTAAATTGCTGAAACGTTGTGTCAATTAAACCAAGGGTAGGGGTGTATCTATCCCAGCCTCTGATAACTATTTTGAAAGTTGTCAAAATATCTATCGTCAGATGTTTCGGACTAGGAAGTATCATAAAATTGTACAGTTGTACAGGGATACAGTAAATATTTACTTTACCAGCTGATAGAACTCAATTTCAGCTATCTGTATAGTCCTCTAAATATTTACTTTACCAGCTGATAGAACTCAATTTCAGCTATCTGTATAGTCCTCTAAATATTTACTTTACCAGCTGATAGAACTCAATTTCAGCTATCTGTATAGTCATCTAAATATTTACTTTACCAGCTGATAGAACTCAATTTCAGCTATCTGTATAGTCATCTAAATATTTACTTTACCAGCTGATATAACTCAATTTCAGCTATCTGTATAGTCATCTAAATATTTACTTTACCAGCTGATATAACTCAATTTCAGCTATCTGTATAGTCATCTATATCTTTACTTTACCAGCTGATATAACTCAATTTCAGCTAGCGGTATAGTCATCTAAATATTTACTTTACCAGCTGATAGAGCTCAATTTCAGCTATCTGTATAGTCATCTAAATATTTACTTTACCAACTGATAGAGCTCAATTTCAGATATCTGTATAGTCATCTAAATATTTACTTTACCAGCTGGTAGAACTCAATTTCAGCTATCTGTATAGTCATCTAAATATTTACTTTACCAGCTGATAGAGCTCAATTCCAGCTATCTGTATAGTTATCTAAATATTTACTTTACCAGCTGATAGAACTCAATTTCAGCTATCTGTATAGTCATCTAAATATTTACTTTACCAGCTGATAGAGCTCAATTTCAGCTATCTGTATAGTCATCTAAATATTTACTTTACCAACTGATAGAGCTCAATTTCAGATATCTGTATAGTCATCTAAATATTTACTTTACCAGCTGGTAGAACTCAATTTCAGCTATCTGTATAGTCATCTAAATATTTACTTTACCAGCTGATAGAACTCAATTTCAGCTATCTGTATAGCCATCTAAATATTTACTTTACCAGCTGATAGAACTCAATTTCAGCTATCTGTATAGTCATCTAAATATTAACTTTACGAGCTGATAGAACTCAATTTCAGCTATCTGTATAGTCATCAAAAGGTTTACTTTACCAACTGATAGAACTCAATTTCAGCTTTCTGTATAGACATCTAAATATTAACTTTACCAGCTGATAGAAATCAATTTCAGCTATCTGTATAGACATCTAAATATTTACTTTACCAGCTGATAGAACTCAATTTCAGCTTTCTGTATAGACATCTAAATATTTACTTTACCAGCTGATATAACTCAATTTCAGCTATCTGTATAGTCATCTAAATATTTACTTTACCAGCTGATAGAGCTCAATTTCAGCTATCTGTATAGTCATCTAAATATTTACTTTACCAGCTGATTGAAGTCAATTTCAGCTATCTGTATAGTCATCTAAATATTTACTTTACCAGCTGATAGAGCTCAATTCCAGCTATCTGTATAGTCATCTAAATATTTACTTTACCAGCTGATAGAACTCAATTTCAGCTATCTGTATAGTCATCTAAATATTTACTTTACCAGCTGATAGAGCTCAATTTCAGCTATCTGTATAGTCATCTAAATATTTACTTTACCAACTGATAGAGCTCAATTTCAGATATCTGTATAGTCATCTAAATATTTACTTTACCAGCTGATAGAACTCAATTTCAGCTATCTGTATAGTCATCTAAATATTTACTTTACCAGCTGATAGAACTCAATTTCAGCTATCTGTATAGTCATCTAAATATTTACTTTACCAGCTGATAGAACTCAATTTCAGCTATCTGTATAGTCATCTAAATATTAACTTTACCAGCTGATAGAACTCAATTTCAGCTATCTGTATAGTCATCTAAAGGTTTACTTTACCAACTGATAGAACTCAATTTCAGCTATCTGTATAGACATCTAAATATTAACTTTACCAGCTGATAGAACTCAATTTCAGATATCTGTATATTCATCTAAATATTTGCTTTACCAGTTGATAGAACCCAATTTCAGCTATCTGTATAGTCATCTAAATATTTACTTTACCAGCTGATAGAACTCAATTTCAGCTATCTGTATAGCCATCTAAATATTTACTTTACCAGCTGATAGAACTCAATTTCAGCTATCTGTATAGTCATCTAAATATTAACTTTACGAGCTGATAGAACTCAATTTCAGCTATCTGTATAGTCATCAAAAGGTTTACTTTACCAACTGATAGAACTCAATTTCAGCTTTCTGTTTAGACATCTAAATATTAACTTTACCAGCTGATAGAAATCAATTTCAGCTTTCTGTATAGACATCTAAATATTTACTTTACTAGCTGATAGAACTCAATTTCAGCTTTCTGTATAGACATCTAAATATTAACTTTACCAGCTGATAGAAGTCAATTTCAGATATCTGTATAGTCATCTAAATATTTACTTTGCCAGCTGATAGAACCCAATTTCAGCTATCTGTATAGTCATCTTAATATTTACTTTACCAGCTGATTGAAGTCAATTTCAGCTATCTGTATAGTCATCTAAATATTTACTTTGCCAGCTGATAGAACCCAATTTCAGCTATCTGTATAGTCATCTAAATATTTACTTTACCAGCTGATAGAGCCTAGTTCCAGCTATCTGCATAGTCATCTAAATATTTACTTTACCAGCTGATAGAGCCCAATTTCAGCTATCTGTATAGACATCTAAATATTTACTTTGCCAGCTGATAGAGCTCAATTTCAGCTATCTGTATAGTCATCTAGATATTTACTTTACCAACTGATAGAGCTCAATTTCAGCTATCTGTATAGACATCTAAATATTTACTTTGCCAGCTGATAGAGCTCAATTTCAGCTATCTGTATAGTCATCTAGATATTTACTTTACCAGCTGATAGAGCTCAATGTCAGCTATCTGTATAGTCATAAAGATATTTACTTTACCAGCTGATATAGCTCAATGTCAGCTATCTGTATAGTCATCTAATTATTTACTTTACCAATTGGTATAGCTCAATGTCAGCTATCTGTATAGTCATCTAAATATTTACTTTACCAACTGATAGATCTCAGTTTTAACTATCTGTATAGTCATCTAAATATTTACTTTACCAACTGATAGATCTCAATTTCAGCTATCTGTATAGTCATCTAAATATTAACTTTACCAGCTGATAGAACTCAATGTCAGCTATCTGTATAGTCATCTAGATATTTACTTTACCGATAGTCATCTAAATATTTACTTTACCAGCTGATAGATCTCAATTATCTGTATAGTCATCTAAATATTAACTTTACCAACTGATAGAACTCAATTTCAGCTATCTGTATATCCATCTAAATATTAACTTTACCAGCTGATAGAACTCAATTTCAGCTATCTGTATAGTCATCTAAATATTAACTTTACCAGCTGATAGATCTCAATTTCAGCTATCTGTATAGTCATCTAAATATTAACTTTACCAGCTGATAGAGCTCAGCTTTCCATAACTCATAACAGAACTTTCGATTCTCTTGCAATGCAGCGAAGATAACCGTGTCCCTTTAACTAAAAGAATTCCCACCTGGTTATAAGTAGGCCAACCCCTCACTAAGCTTGTAATTAAAATATAAATGTATTCTCTATATTAAACAGTAATATTATAAAATAGGAAGTAGAATTGTCAAGTAGATTTACCTGTAGATGGGTCACTCGGTGCTCTATTAGATAAACTTTTCCAAAGTTACCCGACCCCACCAGCCCTAAAACATCAAAATCCTCCGTGTATAGAACTTTCTCAGCCATCTTCTAGTTTTCTTTATCACAGAATCGACAAAACAATCTATCTGAAGTTCTTTTGGATCCAAATTTCACAAAATGTCACCCTTTTAATATAATACAAAATGTCGGTTTAGAGCACAAACAACAGAAAATAAATGAATGTAGTTTTACGTCCTATTGAGTTATGATTGGTTGATTGGTTGGCTGTTAACGTTGGAAATATCCAGGTAGTTGCTGGTAGTCTAGTAGAATCAGGATCGATTGAATGGTTCGATAGTTCAAAATCAAGTATCTTCGGTTTCGAGTTCGGCTTAAGAAGCGCAGTACCGATGGCATCGAGTGATCCTGAATAATTATTGCAGATACACATCCATTAAAATCTCCATAAATTATTCCACCATATACTACGCATAAAACTGGGGGTTATGTCTTCTACTTCAATTCAAGAGTTTACCTTGAAACGAAAACCCCCTCAGAGATATCTATTCTCCACTCAATATCTTCATAACTTCCTATTTGATATTCAATAAATACCTTAGTAGCTTATATTGTAAACTAACGACAAGCACTCAGTTTATAATGCAATTCTTATAATATATTACACAAACATGTCGGTGCATATCTGATCAATGACACCCTTGGCCTTGTATAAAATGACGAATAGATTGGAAAAGCCTTATATATAATGGTATTATACAGCGGTATATCAACAAATCGAAAGCTTATCTTTACAATAATTTTTTTTTTCATTCACAAAGCGATTATATTGAATAGCATACATTCTTAAGAACAGGGTCGGTTGTTGGACGAAACCCTTTTATTTCAATGGTATTTTTTTGTCCCAATCATAAATTAAGAAGCGAGATAACTCCATTTATAATTGATGAAAGTTATCAGACCACAACAAACTATTTTGGGGGGGGGGGGGGGAGAGTCAAGTTTATTGGATTTCGAATGCCAATCATACAGATAACTCCATTTATAATTCATGAAAATTATCAGACTACAACCAAATACTTTTACCAATCTCAGGGTTTCAGTTGGCTGAGGGAAATTTTGCTATGTTAGTGAAATAACAGTCCTCTCTAATCTTGAGTAACAGTCGCCAGTCCAAGAACTCTGATCTTATCCACAGACTCCAACAGATTGTTTGCATTTTTCATCCTTCGGATGGGACAATAAAGTGAGGCCCGTGTGTTACAGGCTGTGCATGTCAAAGATCCCTTAACAGTTGGAAATTGAAAAAGAGCAGGCAAATGCCGCGGTTCTTGGCAAAATTTCCCTCATTGCATTCTGCATGGCGATGCCTGTCTTCATTAGCCCACATGGTGCAGAAAAGATGGACATGAAATTCCTTTCATTTTATTTTTTTTCGTTGAAGACCAGCATGCACATTCAAATCATGATGGCAGAAACTGATTGGAGGCTTTAAAAAGTTATGTCAGTATATTCTCCTAATTAATCATCAAAATGCAAGACTGAAAGGTTTTCTTCCAAGAAATATGTGAATATTTGAATCTGCTTAACTGGGAACAGTACATTTATCACCGAGCCTCACTCATGTGACTAAAGATAAAAAACTTCTGGGGTTAGTAAACATGAATCTACACCTAAGGATAGTATAGAATGTGATAAGTAAAGTGCAGAAGATTCGAATCCACTACAAATTTTGTGTGTGCACTGATGTTGCTGTTCCGCCTCTCCCCTTTTCATTGTGTTTTGAACTCATGTGAAGCAAAAAGTCATAAAAAACATAAACTTTGGTCGGATCAGAAATAACTTTTAAACACCCGTTGAAGAACTCAAGGCCATTTTAAAGCCGAATTCGACATCGTTTATATATCCGTTCAAAATTCATCATTTCCGACTTTGTTGATGTTTTGGATCCCTTTCATTACACAGGATTCTGTATTCGGGATATTTTTCTATCATTTCGACAAAAACTGTCGATCAAATAAGATCAAGTGTATCGTAGTAAGATTTGGGTGTATGCACAGAAAGATGTAAATGTGTGTGTGGGTGAAAATGCATGCTAAAAGAGAAGAGAAAGGCAGAAGGTATGTTTGTGTTTCGTGAAAAGAAAGAAAAAGGAAGTTAGAAAGCGGAAGCGGAAGTGGTTTATTTCCAGTCTCAATACGCATGCGTTGTAGGTGCGTTTTAAGATTTGATTTACCAGACGCCAATTACTGAATAAATGACATTGATCGTCTGGTGAAGCAAGACTATATACGAAAAATCCCAAATATAGAAAGTCGGCCATACTAGTGACGTCACTGTATTTCGGAAGAGTCAACATCAGTCATCTAAAGGCTTGTAAGTATGTCAAAATTTCTTATTATTTCCTTCATTTTACGATCTTTTTCGTTATTTTCCAGCCGTGTTAATGATCGACGTTTATATTTTAATCTGAGGTCAAGGGTGAAAGAATTGTAACCATGAAAACTGGAAAATTATGTCCAGAAAATTCAACCCATTCGCAACAGTAATTATTGAGTAAAGTTCATTTCGGCTTTCAGATTCTCAAAACAATATTCACTTAGTAAGAAAGTATAAAATGAACTGACAATCCGAGCCCAATTCTTACTATAAATTCTTCTGTTTCTTCATGATGATGAAGGCATACTAATATTGTTTGTATAAAGCTTGTCTGGCTGAGTGCTCCATCTTTGTTGTAATTCGGATGCTTTTAATTTGCCAGCTTGGCTCAGTTTTAACATTAAAACTAAAGAAATGCCTGTTAATTCAATTAGACTTTATGGTGACAATTTACATTTAAATCTTGAGACCAATATAACTGTATAAGCCTACTTAGATATATGTGTGTCTCAAATTTTAATTTTGATTCTTATAGCTTTATTCTTTTATGGTACAAAATTCTATCTTATTTAGTCAATACGAAAGAGATCTGGCCTAATTGTAAACCTTGTAATGCTTCTACACAAGTATCTAAGCCTAGAAGAATATATTCAACTAGAATCTACTTGTTATACTGACAAAACAACTCCATTTTAATTGAAATAATTCGACTTATGACTGTTGAATGTGAAGGATTATGAAAGAATATTCCTATTTTGAAATAATCCACATGAGTTGGTACCTCTCTTAAGCTTATGTCAAGTTTTAGTTACAATCATACCACTGACCTGTCATGCTAAGATCAAATATTGATTGAAGCAATTATAAAGGGATTATGATTATACTAATATTGACAGTGTTTATTGGCATTAGTTGTTAGAATCACAAATATTAATTAAACTGTGTAAAGATCATTAATCACTTCAGATAGATTTAGTATAGTCAATGATGATATAATTCTTATATCCTGTAAAAAATACTGCTCTGTTCCTTAACATTTTTATATTTTGTTTGTCCCAGTAAAGTATTAAGGTGTCTGAATAAAATAGTTAATTAAAATTCAAGTGATTTAATCCGTAATCACACTGAGATAATTGAATATTTATCAGACGTTAGATAATTGTGGACATAGTCATAGCACTAATCATATAACACTGAGAGACTATGAAACATTATTATTGATATAATGATGTAACTGGCATTTATATTTTTCTCTGTTTTTACAATCAATATCTGACCACACCCTGATACAATATACAACCTCTCAGCCTGTCTGTATGTCATATTAGTGATATTGACTGACTTCTCTGACTCATTTATTAAACTTATTCTGACTTATATAACTGATACTGCTATACAGGTTATTAAAAATGGAATATAAGCTTAGTTATGATAATGGTTCAGGTACCTAGTATCTATTTGAGAATGTTTTTGGTGTTGATATTTTGATTTTGTATGAATTATTATCTGTTGGTTGATTTAAAAGATATTGTAAATGTGCAAGTATAATGTATAAGAAGTTTTAAACTGAGTTAGAAGAGTTCGAATTGTTTTGATATAGCTAGAACACTATTGAAATCAGCCCTGTAATTGGTTGAGTACAAAATTTAAAATGTGAAGTAACAGATTATGAAGTGAGGAGTTGAAATTGTTTTAATAAGGCAGTTAGATTTCTCATACATATATACATGCTAGAACACCATTTAAATCGGTCCTGTGACATTTATAATGTTGATAATAAACCAGTCTATCAGGTCAGCCTGTCACTGACTGTTTCTATATTACCTGTTTAACTAGCAGGAGTTATACCAGTGATACTATATAATACATGTTTTATATATGTCAATTAACTGTGTCAGGAGGGGCTAGAAAGTCATAAGGATAATTTAGTTGTCGATGGTTCAGATATTAAAACAATAACCAGATTATTGTAAGTTAGAATATACATTTCAATGAAATTTGTTAGTAGGTCCAATAGTCTGGAGGATAAATATTGTGTAGTAAGAAGTGCTTAAAATGTTAGCTTACTGATTTTCTATTTTTTTTATACTTTTTTGATACTTTGGTTATTGTGGCAGTGGAATCGCTCTGTCGGCAGTGAGGTGGAATATTGTCTGCTAGGATTTTGGGGCCGTCAGTACAGTGGGTTTAAATCCTCCTCAAGGTAAGACAAATCCTGATGTCTGTGCCAGTGCTTCCGGTTTTCTATCTTTTATACCAATAAGCAGATCATGCACAGATGTATCAGTGTCCTAGTGATGGATTTATATCTGAACCGCTGAAGACCATGTTGACAGAAAGGTGAATTAAACTGTGATTGAGAACAGATATTGTTGGTGAAACTTGTCTGTGTTTAATTAGGAGATAGTTTGTGTTCTAAGACAGGTCAGAGGTCAACCTGGGTCCAGAATGTTTTAAGACAACAGTTAAACAGATGTACCACATTGTATTTATTGAACTAAAAATTCTTTAAGATTGACAACAGGTGATTTGCGGTGATGTGGTTGGTTATTTCCCTTGAATGGCAGTTTGTGTCTTGTTAGTAGTCGAATGCTGGTCTCTTGGCAAAATTTCCCTCATTACACACTGTATGGCATTGTCTTTATTAACTCAATTAGGAACAGAAGTGTAGGATGTAAAACTTCATTCATTTCAATTTCTTCTTGTTAATGTTAGATGGTGCTAACAAAAAAAAAAAATTAGATAAAGCTTACAGTTATAGTTATATTATTCTGAAAATATATTTTTTGATAAAATCCCTATTTGTTTTGTGATTATTAGTATAAAGACAATAACTTATCAAATTATGCCAAATATTGGAAGAGAAATTTTACATTACAGCCAACTATTTAGAAGGTAAAGTAATATTGTGGGACTTTTTAAAATGATGTTATGTAGGTGTTTAACTTAAGTGATGAAATCAGGATCTAGTCTAATACGAACTAACATTGTAAACCTACGCAATTTCTACAACCCCCATATAGTAATATTAATTCTCCAAGATCGTTAATTAATTTGTCTGACCAGTGTGATTAACATTGATCAGGAAACTCTGTCAGCGTCGTCTATTTTTATACCAACTAGAATCTGGCAAGACAATTACTCTCTTCCTGTTTAAATAAAGTTAGATCAAAGTTGAATATATGCTTCCTAGTAGATTCATTTCAGTTTCAACTTTATTTTGGGTGTTGTATGAGGTTAGTTTAATAGATTTGATTTGTAATTGGTAGAGGATTTGGTTTTATTTTGACTTGATGTAACCAGTAAATGTCTAACTGAATAATATACATATACTTAGTTAGAACGTAGCCTGTTACCATTATTTATTTTGGTTGTCATATAAAGTTAGGTAATATATTTTAATTCAATCAGACAGGGCTCTTGATTGGTTTCACATTTATTGAAGCTGTGAAGAAATGAAATTTTTGAATATGTAGAAAGTTAGTTAGATGGAAAGTTATAAAAGATTATTATCACTATTTTCATTTTGAATATGATACTGAGTTTAATTTCAAAATTTTGCTTTATGTGGCTTGATGTTATGCATGTGGCTGAATTAACCAGTCATGTCTGACTGAGGCTAAGTAGAATTATGACATTTTTTCCTGAGTTTAGATATAGATTATATAATCGGAGAATATAATTTACAGAGTGTTTGTTTTATGTAAATGTTTTTGTGTGGAATATAAATCTTTCTTCCTGTCTAGTTACCCTAGTGATTACCAGTTGTGTATGGACGGAATAATGACAGCGGTCATGAGTTCCAAACGCAACATTTTTCACGATCATATGCAACTGGTCATGGCTATGGTGTGAGGGAACCTTTAATGAACTTTCCTACTTCTGTATGCCTTACAAAGATTATAACTTAGTTTGTAGTTATAATACTCTCTTGGACATTTTTCTCAAAAATTCGGGCGACTAAACTCGCACGTTAAGTGAAGAAAAAGGTTATTTTTGACCTTATCAAAACTTTTATTTATAACTTTTATACTTGTTACGTTAATCTACAATACAAGTCCTGAACTATTACCAGTTGTTACACTTGTTAATAGACAATATAAATACAGTATTAATATTAATATAATCGTTATTATTCTGGTATTAATTAATATTACTTTATACTGAATTATATTCACAGTTGATATTGTTACAACCTTTATTTCATTAGCTAACTATGGTACAGAGACTAGATTGTCTAACTCAAACTTACTGGTATCGTCAATCATGTCACGATACATATTGTGATACAAGGGTCACGATATGATACATATTGTGATACAAGGGTCACGATACGATACATATCGCGATACCAGGGTCACGATACGATACATATTGTGATACAAGGGTCACGATATGATACATATCGCGATATGGGGTAATGGGATAAATATTAACAATTCACCAATATATGGTGCCAGCACTTACGTGTATATGCTTAATTCCAAAACAGCCATCCTTGGTGATTCAATAGAGAAAAAAATGACTAATGTTTTTATATTATTTTCATTGTAGAATTAGAATAACAACAAGGAACCAAGTACCACCATGAGAGAATATAAAATTGTAGTTTTGGGAAGTGGAGGTGTAGGTAAATCTGCTCTGGTAAGTTGTAATTATAACTGGTGTCACTGATGGGGTTTATTGAGTGTTTGGTGGAAGGGGGTGAAAGAACAACAGCAGGTCAACATTGAAATTCACTGGCTCGGGCAGTCAGTTATATCAGATTATAGCTAGATTGGCACTCTATACTCTATAGCACTCTTAAGAAAGATAAAGAAAAAGAAACAACTATACAAGGATAACAACTTAGGTTCACAAAGTATCATATCTACCAGCAGGTCAGAGGCCAAACCTCTTGGCATTGATAATTCCCTGATTATCCTAATATTACACTAGAGATAATATCTATAATATAACTGTATGTAATAATCTATCTATTTACAGACAGTTCAGTTTGTACAGGGAATATTTGTAGAGAAATATGATCCTACTATAGAGGACAGTTATAGAAAGGTAAAATCACTGCTATAACTCATTTACATAATCCTCATTTGCATAATCCTCATTAACATTATTCTTGTTATTGTAAACATCAAACAACATAGTGCAACAAGGTTCAGGACAAGACCCAATTGTTGTGCATTTGAAAGATCAATTGATGGTTGAATTGCACCAATCACAGACATTGAGCTCTTTCTATATAAATATAACTGGTATAGCCAATATTGAGACCATTTTAATGAGCTCAATCCAATCAACATGTTAATGCCCATATTATTTATGTAATGTTGTTTTTTTTATCTAACAGCAAGTAGAAGTAGATGGCTGTCAATGCATGTTAGAAATATTAGATACAGCTGGAACTGTAAGTATAGAGAGCAAGATTTAAATTTAACAATTCTAAGTCCTACCTTTCTAAATAAGAACACAGACCAGACATTATTATCATATTTACATTACTTTCTCTTCATCACTGCTAACTTCACATTGTTTGAGACTTAGTGAATAGAAAACTTGTTCTGAGTTCTCCAAATGACATACGGTCGTGTGTTGTTGATACATGTTTCTGTTATAAAAACACATGACCAGGAGCTATATGCTTGAAAACTCTACTTCAAATTATTATAGTCTTCCACAAATACCGCCATTTCACCAATCTGGATAGAAACATGGGATATAAAACTCTATTTTAATTTATTTCCAGGAACAATTTACTGCTATGAGAGATCTGTATATGAAAAATGGTCAAGGATTTTTATTGGTTTATTCTATTACTGCTCAATCAACTTGGAACGATCTCCAGGATCTTCGAGAACAAATTCTCAGAGTTAAGGACACAGATGACGTAAGTTGATTTCTCTTTTAAATCATTATTTCTCAGGCATCAGGGGGTGAAATAGACGTCTGATAGAAAATTGGAATGGTGTAAATTTATGCTTTGAGTGTCCATAATACACATACGCCATACAAAATAAATAGTCTGTTTTACAGGCCTAAAATGCCTGATTGTTGCCTTAATATTAAATGTATATTAAATTTGTGATAATAAATGCTTTCTCTCGCTCCGATTTATTCCAGTTGGAAAACTAAAAAAGCGCTTATAAATAATAAATAATAAATTCGCCCTGATTTTGAAAAAAAAAGGCCTGTAAAACAGATTATTTATTTTATATGGCCTAATAAGTTTAAATAAGCTACAAGTATGAATTATTTTGATGTTATTTTGTAGGTACCAATGATCCTGGTAGGTAATAAATGTGATTTAGAAGATGAGAGAATGGTGGGTAAAGATCAAGGTCAGAATTTAGCTCGACAATTTAACTGTGGATTTTTAGAAACTTCGGCTAAAGCGAAAGTCAACGTCAGTGAGGTGAGTGAATTTTTTAATAATTATTTTACAATCATAATATATCCTCATTTCAAGATAATTGGCCAAGTTTTTTCTGAATATTTTGAAAGAATGAAACATCCATTATTTCCAGGGATAACTTATTGTTCCTTGGCCAAACCGTTTGCATTGATCTTTCCCTGATTTATGGTTCCCATTTATAGCTGGGTTGACTGGAATAATCAGAAACATTGACTTATTCAGTACTCATTTATAGCTGGGTTGAGTGGAATAATGAGAAAAGATGTCCCAATCATTACACCTGGCTAGGCATTCTCGGAAGTGTTAGGATATCCTAGAATCAATGTCAGAAGATAAAACCGTGGGACATCCTAGCTCTAAGATTATTTCGAGAATAGGTGGCCAGGTTTTCAGATGTAGACTGAAATAAGAACCAAGCAAATGAGGTATTGTAGATGTTCCAACGCCCTTAACTAACTGTGATTTTACTCACCTGGGTATAAATATTTTGTGAATTTCTTTTCAGATATTTTGCGACCTAGTACGTCTTATAAATCAGAAAAACCCAGAAAAAGTTGCTCGAAGAAAAAAGAAGTCGAGTGGTTGCTGTTTATTGTAAGAATTGTGGACTATTTTAATCTGAAGATCGGATGATGATGATAAGAAATAATACCTGAACATTCATTGAAAAAAATAACACTGACATCTGTGGAAAACTGGAAATATAAGATTTAAGAGATTTGCGAAAATATAACTAAAAAAAACGTAAAAAAATATTTTAGATGTTAAGAAATTTGTGGAGGTAGAACTGCGTATTTTTTCAATCCGTGTATAAAACTATTCTGATATCTGTGGAAATAAAAAATTGAAGACATTTGTGAAAAAGATATCGTAAAAAAAAAGTCAAAAAATTTGCATATTTATATGGAGGTAGAACTAAAAACTTTTTTCCATTTATTGATGCATTCAGTTCATTTATTGATGCATTCAGTTTTACGAGAATTATTTACCATCATTTGTTTTATTTAAATAAATCACGACCAAGACTTCGATAGAAACTTCCAATTTTGATCAAGGCTTTGTACATATTTTACTGGGCATTAGATAGTTTGGAATGGTTCTAGGCTGTTACTATAATAGTCTTGATTATTCAGACTCTTGTCTCTTATACTACTTGATAATGATTAGTGTTAAGTCTAGTTGATCAAGTTTACTAGGACTAAGTTTTAGTCTTGGTCATCCAGATTTAAGTCTCTACTACAATAGACAGTTTTAAATCTGTATGACCAAGACTAAATGTGAAGCGCTAGTTTATAGTCTTGGTCATCAAGACTGATGTCTGTATGACCAAGTCTTAATGCCAAAACTAAAGACCTTTCGATGTTATCTACAGCAACATTGTCCAGACACTAATGAAATATGCTCACAAGTTACAATGATCAAAATATATTTTGAGATTTTTTCCTTCAAGTGGTTATAATATGTAAAAGTGCATGATGTTTTTGCTTTTTAATATTTGTTCATTTTTAAACTGGATAATATTTCTATAGAGAAACTTCTTCACTGTTAACTGTTTCTAATAAATCATCAGGGAGGAGGTGGGGGAAGGGGTCGATTAGAGACGTAGAATTGTAAAGGGGAGATAACTGGAAATTCTTTCCTTACGTAAAATAATAAATTTGAGAGGAGAGATGAACAGCCAGCCGTAAGCCGCAATTCAGGCCTGCTGTAGAAACAGAACTGAAAAGCTATTGGGATACCATATCTAAAATTTAAGAGTTTATGAATCTGAGACTGAAAGATATGAAGAAGTTTCTCTATAGAAGTGACTAGAGGAATTGTAAGCTACAGTGTGAATTATAGAGAGAGAGTTAATTATATACTAACAGTACTAATATTACAATTAAAATAACATGTCCTGTACTACTTCCTTCTATATATAGTGAAATAAAACTATAGTATATATAAACACAGCTTTATGGAACAACAATCACTGATTACAGGTTTTATACGTTTCGAAGGGGGGAACATTCAAAGACTTTAAGACTATAGTATATAGTGTATGTTAGAAATATCTGGTGGTTTATGGAAATTGATAATTTGTAACTGTGGAGGTGGAGTATTTATAAATGTAATATGTTGGAGATGGTCTAGCTCATCGTTAAATATAGGTAGAGGTGTATGGGGCATGTTATTTAAACTATTAATAAAGCTAGTAGAGAGAGGACCACACCCATTTCTTTAAAAATCTTAAGATGAAATTTGGTCACAAGTGAGGAATAGTTTATAATAAAATACCAAACTTCAGACAAAATTGATCATAAGATTTTCTTTGAATCGGGTAGCCAGATTTTCATGTCATCTATTTTTTTCTCTTCCCATTGTTATTTGTCAAATCATTGTTTTATTTTCAAATCTTCGCTGATTTTTTCTCTAGAATTATTGTTAACTTCCTGAAATCTTGAAAACTTGATGTTTTATTTTTACCTTCATCACATTTCAATGGTCTACCTTCAATAAATAATAATCTAGTGGCTAATTATTCAGCAGTCATTGACAGGTTTCATATAGCTGCAGAATGCTAGCGTAACTTTCACAGAGGATGTTTGGTTGCTGGACCTTTTAAATTTAGAAAAAAGATCGTTGGATTATTTTGTAATATTTGATATAACTTGTAGATATTGAAATGTTGATGATGGTAAAATATTGTTCTGTTATTTAGAAAATGTAAAAATTGTACAAAAATTTCTTTCCTTGTTCATTGTATCTACCTATAATCTAAATATTAATAATATTGTTTTGCTGACACAATGATCAATTGATAATCAAAGATTAGCTTTGTAATTCTGAAGAAATCATGAATCATATTAATAGCTATTTACAATAAAGTTTAAGATCGTCATGTGGTCTTCAGAAGACCGCAAATCGAAGATAAGCTTCTTCGCTGTTCTACTTCACGTCAGTTGAAACTGAATTAAATCTGACAGCCATCTTATAATCAAGTTTTTAATTAACAATTGTGGTCATCAGAGTACTGGAAATTGATCATTAGCTTATTTTTTGAAAATAAATGATAGATTAACTTTGATTCATTAAAAACAATGGCTGAAGAGTTTATTTGTTATTATACAGTATAGCCTAGTAATATTTTGGGAGGGTTTTGGTTGTATTTATTCTAAAAATTAACACTAGTCTTGCTCTTCAATCTGATTCAAATACAGCTCGAGGTTTATAGCTCAGTTTTTTCTATCAAAAGTTATTGAATTATTTTCTCACCGTTAATTTTGAGCGAAAGAACGACCAGGGAATTTTTTTTCAATGAGATATAGGTTAGTGGTAAATGTATCGAGCTACTCATGATTAAAGTTCAACCCATGAAATATTTCTGCTGTATTTGAATCAGATTTTGTTTTGTGTATATTGTACATTAGTAATTTTATAAAATATCAGCTCGGAGTTTGTCAGAAACCAGGATACTTGGTCCTTGGTTTCCCTGTAACAATACATCTAATAGTTCCAGCTGATGTTAAACAGATTGTAAAAAGATGTATATAGAAGACACTGATAACATTATTTCCACTGCAACTAAATGTTTGATCATGTTAAGGCCCTAAAGATAGTTGAAGATAAAATGCTTAGTTTTAGTAGAATTGCAGGAACCAGAGGCATCTGATTGAAAATTGGAACGTGGAAATATGATGCTATCAGTGTTCCTCTATACTATCAAAAATTAGGAAAACTTCTTTCATTTCCTCCTCAGTACCAACTGGTCCTTCGTGTTTTTCCAAACCTGAAAGTGTTTATGGTGTTACTGTGTAGGGCTTTGACTGACAGCTGATATATCTGTAAAGGTGCCCTCACACCCTAGATTTTACCAGTTGTGAATAATAAAGTTTTATTCAGACTATAGGCAACTGGTGATCGTTATAGTGTGAGGTCACTAAAGCTTCAATATTTATCATCATATTGTTTCCCTGCTGCTAATATTATTCTACCACCATCTAGTTATCATTATTTTATCAATAAAAATATAAACTTTAACCTGTATTCAATATGTCTTTATTAATTCTTCATATCATACACATCTTTCACAAGATAAGCTGGGAATCATGAAGTATCAAAAGATTTCAGAAACATTTAATTGGCTCATGAACCTTGAAAGCTGGATCATTTTAAATGCAGTGACATGTCTATGAATGAGGGGGGTCTGAATGAGGGGTGTCTGAGTAGGGTCTCACAGCAACAGAAATGGATAAGAACTTTGAAAATTGGGGTCCAATGTTGGACCAACCTCTGATGTAGAACAGGAACTAATAGTTAGATGCTTACACTAGAAACTGTCAAAGATTATGCTCGTTTTCCAACTAACTTACTGACAGACAAAGGCGATTTACATCCATATTCTAATGTAGGCAAGGCGTAATAAAAAAACAACCAGTAGGTGACTCTGACAACAAGTTTATATGGTAACAACATCGAAGCTATAGAATATAACACACATTTAACAATTCATTATTTACTACTAATCTATATTACTATCATTATTTCAGCAAGAGCTCTGTTTCTCTAAAAACCTCACAAGTAAATAAATTTACATTTTATAAGTGAGGTTGTTTGATAAATCAGACTGTAGCTCCAGTAATAAAAATATTACAACCAATTTTAAAGAATACATGATAAAATTAATTCATGTTCTTTCTAAAGAGAAATGAAACCCTGATCTAATAAATTTTCTTAAAAAATCACAAAATATTTTTTAAACTTCAATCAACTTTCACACTGATTCTTTTCAATTATCCTGAAAACCTACAATAATAACTGTCATGTTTAAATGGTCAAGAAGAGGTAACATTCAGTCTATCTTATTTAAATACAAGACAAATATCAATATCTATTAGTGTGTTTATTACCATCAAAATAACCTAACATTATGTAGTCTGGTTTTATGTTTTGAATAGTCTTACTGATGTGCTAGATCTTTGATTGACCACAAATATAGATCATAAAATATCCACTGAAGGTTTTTATCTGAATATAGAAGTTAAAGATGCCCTGACAGATAGCGTAAACAGTTGTGTATAGCTGAGAATAATAAAAGTGATCATGAGTTCTGAATACAACTCACTACTCAGTTACAGGAGAGTTATGTTTGAAACTAATGACCCCTATTCTTATTCATAACTATACACAACTGATGATCACTATCTTTACATAGATACATCCAGTTTATAACCATGACTAAATGTAAATTGATAACTATTGCGATGATAAACAAGATATCATATAAAGTCTATACAGATACACATAGCTTAGTAGCATTGTAACTGAACGTAAATTGGAATAGCAAATTAAAACTGTTAACTATTGTGATGATAAACTACAGCACTATTAGATCAGTATGATGATGTTTACATAGATAACTCATAACAAATAATTCATATACAATACAATCAATCTGTTGAATGAATAAGTGAATGAAAAACAGGAGGGGGGTCACAATAGGAAACATATTCCTGATCATTAGAATCAGAAATAACCAATGCAAGTTTGTGAATGTAATAATAAGAAATAGGAAATTGTGACTGATATTTGCTTCAACATTTTTATCGAACCTGGGAACTTCTTATCATCTTGACTTACAGAACCTCCTAGCTATGAATGAAATCAAACTTGACTTTGTTAAAACCAAAATATATTGATAAATTTACTGAAAAATAACATATGACCAAAAAAAAGTAGTTTCCAATAAAAATCATGACATATGAAAAGGATTATAAAAAAAATAACATGACATGAAAATTGTGAGTACAATACAATTGATGAAAGGATTTGAAATAAATTAATGATAAGAATTTAAATATCTATAAAATTATAAAATTGATACATGATTCAATAATTAATGATATGCGCATATAAGTAGTATTGATGAAATCGGCCATGTAGTAAAAAGGGAGGGAGAAGATTAGAGACAAAATACAAAAGAACATAAACTTATTTTCATATACATTGTATAGTCATTATAAATAACATAAAATGCGCATATAATTAAATTAGATGGCCATATATGGTAGTGTGAAAGAATGAAAAAGCTGAAACATTTTTCATAACAATGTGGATTGTATAGTGAAAATAAATAACAGAAAATGAAGTATTATATTATATCTGACACTGATATGGATGAAAACAGATGCCATGCAGTGTTCAATGGGGAAAATTTGTCATTACAAAGGCATCATTCCATCCTTTTAATGAACATGTGGGACAATATAGTAGAAAAAAGTACAAAATAGAAAATTTTCATTTCGTGACCTTTAGTATTCTAAATTTATAATAATGAATTTACCATAGATCCAAATATAGGGTTGGAACATATTTGTACAGTTTTAGTTTATTTGGTATAAAGACTTGTCAACTAGCTATCCTTTCAGAGTCTTCACATAGTTAATCATGTCTATTTGGTATATAGGTTTGTCAACTTGGCATCCCTTTCAGAGTGTTCACATAGTTAATCATGTCTATTTGGTATATAGGTTTGTCAACTTGGCATCCCTCTCAGAGTGTTCACATAGTTAATTATGTCTATTTGGTATTTAGGTTTGTCAACTTGGCATCCCTTTCAGAGTGTTCACATAGCCACTAATGTTTATATGGTATTTAGGTTTATCAACTTGGCATCGTTTTCAGAGAGTTCACATAGTTAATTATGTCTGTCTATTTAGTGATTAGGTTTGTTAATTTGGCACCCTTTCACAGTGTTCACATAGTTTATATTCCATATTAGTTTGATTTTGCCTTCATCACAATATAAAAATATCCACAATTTTACAACGAATAAAACATATATTTTGACTTATATTATAAACAAGTCTATCTCACTAGACTACAAGCATTGGATTTGAATCCATGGCCACAGTTTTCTAGATTCTGAGTTCTTGCATTAAAGTTAGACATGAATTATAATCAGCACTGAATTTCTGACATTTTGGTGAGAAGTGATTTACTTTTTGATTTTCAATTCTGATGATTTTTTGGGTTTAATTGCCACATTTCCCTCATAACTTTAATCCACTTTTTTTTTTTAGCACACAAATTTTCAAGACCTTCATTAGCACTTCAATAGTATATCTTAGATGCTTACAATTTGCACATACATGAGCACTAGTTTGACAAACAAGCACGCAAATTTTTATAGAAAATTTTCTATGCATTGGCCCATGCCTTTGTGGACCTAAAACTTTATTCCACTAGTTTCTGATTCTTTCTTATAATTTGCACTAACCACATTTGCACTCAAGTTTGATGTTCTGACACCTTAATTAGCACTGGACGTAGGATTGTTGCCCGATTGGAGATTATCAGACTGATCACCCGAGGAACTAGACGTCATCCCAGAATTCATCCCATGTGGGATAGAGTTCATCTGTTGGGTGGGCATGGAGGAGAACGGGTTCATCATGGGCATCCCGTACATAGAGTTCGGTGAGCTGTTATACATAAACGGGTTCATAGGAGTGTTCATATAGGGCATCCCGTACATCCCTTGTGGCATCGGAACCTGCGAGGAACTTTGTTGGTTGCTGGAATCTGATTGGTTTGTGGTATTTGACGAACTGGAACTCGATGGAGTGGACATGTTGGGCATCATCTGCTGAGGCATTCCACTCATCATATTAGCTGGGTTAAACCCACCCATCATTGGCATTCCACCCATCATTCCCATTCCGGGTGGCTGTCCCATCATTGGCGGGTAATTATGTTGTGGGAAATACGGGAAGAATGGGCTGGGAGCCATATTAGAATAGGGGTTTCCGTAACTTTGTTCCATTGGATTGGACATGTTAGATCCAAAATTATTTCCAGTAAAATTACCGAAGCTACCCATTGGGTTATAATTATTGCCATAGTTACTGAAACTTTGATTTTGAGATGAGGATGAATCGTTAAATGATTGGTTGAAATTGGACATGGAATTATTGACGTTGCTGGTGTCTTGACTTGTGTTCTCGCGTGTTGTGTTGGGTTGACTTGTCTCCACTGTACTGTTACTATTATTAGCTCTAGATGACGACGACTGACTAGCGTCTGTTGAAGTCATGCCAGTGTTTTGGGTCGTGTTTATATCATCTAGATTATTCATTCCTAATGATTCCGTATTATTATACTGGTTACACAGATTTAACAAATCACTCGTAGTTGACACAGAGTTATTGCCCTTGCTTCCTTCACTATAGAATGTATCTTGTGAAAAGTTACTGTTTTGAGATTGGTTGGGATATGAATAATTTGCTCCAGAATTCGACTGAGTGTTAGCTGTGCTTCCAAACGTCGAAGAATTTCCTGATGTTTTTTGTCCCGGAAAATTAGAAGATGGCATGGAACTTAGTGCATGGAAATTTGGCAAACTTGAATTTTGGCGTGGATAATTTTGGAATCCCAATCCCTGCCCCGAATATCCAGGATTTTGACCAAAATTCGAATTCTGCCCCTGATAGCCAAATGACGAAGTATTCTGTCCTAATGAAGAATTATTGGGATTGGTGCCACTGAAATTCAACCCAGGATTGGAAAAGTTTGATGCGTTTGCATTCTGTCGTCCAAAATTCATTGGATTGAAATTTTGTCCAGTGAAATTTGGTGCTGAACTGGAACTAGTTTGAGAGGGTTCGTTTGGTTTGGGACCTTGTGAAGTTGAAGAATTTAGTCCTTGAAAGGATGGCAACTCGATGGGTTGGTTCGTATCATCAGTTTCTGATTTTACTTTAGGAGATTTCTCGCTGGTTGTTTTAGGTTTTATGACTGGTAGTCGTGCGATTGTTGTATTAGTGCCAGCCTCGCTGGTAGTTTTGTTGCAATGGTTACCAGAATCCTCGTTCATCTGGAGTAATCCTGATATGATATTGTCCCCGGAGCTGGTCACCGTTTCTGGTTTTGAAATCCCGACTGGTTTTATTCCTTTACTAAAATTCAAACTAAACGGGGCTCCTAGTTTATTTTTACCACCATCATCTAAAATATTAAACAAAGCTACATTAAGAACTTGGTCAAACTAACAGCAATGTTAACATATCAATCTAAATTAGGAATTAATAGTCCACAGCTAAACAACTTTTACTCCTGATTTTTCCATTCTTTGGACAAGATTTTTGATTGACAGAATCGTTTTCCTATTATGCATTTTTATTATCTAGCTAGGACCAACAAAGGTCATATCCACACCAAGTTTTCTCTACTTTTTATTTGTTTCGGGAACACTGAAATCATCAATTTGGACCATTCTAATTTTCAGTTACCAGTAGAAGTCTGCGGTTCCTGGAGTTCCACTAAAACTAAGCGTAATTTGAAGTCACTATCATAAGTGACCTTAGATTAACATATAATTAATAGCAGCCTTCGACGTTATGTGCAGTTAAGCATTTCTATAATTACAGAAACCAAAGACATTTGACTGAAAATCGTAATGATTCAAAAAAAGCCATAAATGTCCCAAAACATGATACTAATATGAAATATCACCTGTTAGATTCAGAAAGATTGGTTGAAAAATTGTAAAATGAAAGTAAATATAAAAGTTGGCGTTAAATAATAGAAATTCTTACACTTACCTAGTATAGAACCAAATGGATTAGTATTAACTGGTGCTATGAGTTTATCAAGTTTACCACTCACACTATTAGCAATAGAAGAAATGCTTGTAGTCTGAGATGTAGTAGTCACAGTTGTGTCCCCTGTTTTATCACTAAAGGGAGTTGTATTATCACTAGAGTTTGAATCTTGATTCCGTAATATTGCGTTCACGCTGTCTGTTTGAGAGTATATACTGGATAGTAAGTCACTTTGTAATAATTCTGAAGTTATTGGACTTTTGGATGGAGTTCGTATGATCTTTGGCATGGCTTTCACGGTAGCACTGTTATTATTTCTGTTTATGATCAGTCGTTTATCTCCCAGCTTCCCGACACTCGCTCCCGAACTGGTGATAATTTTAATATTTAAATTTGATGGGGTTGCAGTTGAAGATGTACTTGTTATTGGTAACCCTGAAATAAACAATATGCAACTTAGAAATAGGCCAATTCCGACTGGTTGAATAAGCCTGAGAGAGATTCCCGACAATGTATGCAATTGGAAAATGTAGGCTATGCTAATATAATATATAAGAAAAGAAAATTTTATGGTTAATGTTTAAAATTTACAATATTTCTGATTTTTCACAAGTCATTTGGCATTAGCCTGTCACATGTTTATTTCATTTGCATCATTGACGAAAGAAAACAGTCAAAACTTTTAGAAGTTTGAGTGTTAGTTTTAATTAACTATACCACCTCGTCAAAGAAAGAATATTGACCAGAGAACTTCCTGAGGAATCTGGGTAATTCATTTTGTCTCTACCTATCCCAAGATATACCCCAGTGAAAGCAATCATCTAAAAAACTGAGCCACCTCCACAAAGAATGAAAATTCTAAATATAAATTGTTAATTACCTGTAGATTGAGTAGATGACAACGTAGTTAATGATGATGATGATAAATTCAACGGACCAGGTGGCGCCATCGACGGTCCTGGTAAACCCTTCGATCTGACGGCAAACAGTTTCTTATCAGCCGTCCGTATATAGACACCTTTTAATGTCTTGATAACCAAGACTTTCTGGCCTGGTGGGATACGATTCACTGTTCCTGCCTGCGTAGCTGTATTAGACCCGGGTAACACAATTTCTGAAAGATACAAGAGAAACATTGTGATTGATTCAAAAGTAGCCTTTTATTCTAATTTGATGTAAAGGAGCACCTTCACTTTCTGTTCAACCAATCGTACCTTAGTTCAGAAATAGAATTGGGTTTTTTTAGCTTACATAATCAGTAATAGTGTTCACAGCTCATCATAGAAATTTGACCCTTCAAATCTAGGTGTATCCATAATTATTCACGTTTGAAAGTTTTAGTGAGTCTATGCCATATATAAAAAACACATATACATATATAGAAATAGACAGTGAAATTTCTAGTTTGAGGTATATTTGAAGGGATTATGTGATTTTCGTGTGTTTTAGTATTTCTTTAGACTCTAAATTCTAAATCAAAAACATCAAATTTCAAAAAATTATTTAATTGTTGCAGACTGGATATATACCATTGAAGTTTCTGTTATCTTTTGAGCAGATAGACGGAAAAGGGTGCAGTCCATACAAAGTTACACGGAGGTTTGAAAACTATTGTAAAACTATACCTGTAGTGGTAATAACTTGATGTACAGAAACACCAGGTCTCATAATATTACTACCCAATCCTGACCCCTTAGCTCCTGTTTTTAACCCCATTGGTACTGGAGTTGATATCATAGGTTTAACACTAGCTACTGGTCTCATATAGCCTCCTCGGTTCACCATCATACTATAATATAGATATCAAAACATATTACATATTAATTATATCTATCTCTAATAAAATAATAACCTTTACAACAAGACAAGTTTTATATTCTGAAATGAAATGAAATGGAGTATAACGTCCTACTTTCGACACCATGTGGGCTAATGAAGACGGGCAATGCTATGCAAGGTGCAATGAGGGAAATTTTGCCAGGACAGCGGCATTAGCCTGCTCTTTTTCGAGATCCAACTGTCGAGGGATCTTTAACGTGCACAGCCTGTAGCACTCTATATTTTGAGCCACAAGTCTTGTATTTCTGTATATTATTTTTAAATAAAATCTAAATATTACAACGTCAGTTAAAACTTGTGCAGGGTACTTTTCATTTTAAAATACTTGATCTATAATTGATATACTTCCTCAATCCACAAAGTTCTCCTTCATCTCATGGCATCTTGTGCTTCTAAACTACAATCTCCAGACAAAAACAATTTATGATTGTGTACTCTATAAAATACTACCTGGATATTTTGCATTTCCAAAATAAAATAAAAGTTAGAAACCTACCCCTGTTGATTGCGTAGAATAGGTAGACCCTGATTATTCGGGTAGAAAGCCGAATACGAGGGTCGACTGTATGATACACTCATCTTTTTATCTCTTGCGTATCCTTCTTTAGCTAACTGTTTCTCTCTCTTCGATAATCTTAACTCTCGTCTGTCTAGCAGCAGGGATTCATGGGTAAAAGGTAGCTAAAAATAAACGTACAATATTTAACAAACTATGGAGTAGATAATATAATCATTAAAACAGGGTTTTCTATCTCTAGGTAAATACCACTTTGTAAATGTTTGGGGGGTAATGTAATGTAATTTTGACTATTATTATTGAAGTTGTTCTATTCAGTGAAGGTATATTCTCCAACATGAAGAAGATGAAATGAAATGAATGGAGTTTTAAGTCCTATTTTTCTGTACCATGTGGGCTAATGAAGATGGGTAAGAGAAAAGAGGTATTATTATTATAATAGATCATTATATTGAAACTATTGTATTTAGAAGAATCTTCTATGATATTTTAAGACTCTCAGTAGTATTATGGAGTTGATATTTCATCTTACAAAAACTGATTATCATAATCTTTTTTAATAGAAGAAATTTGGAGGTATATTCTGAGATATATATCATCAGTATTATTAGTTAGAGAAATCTCACCTCTGTGATCCATTTACCCTGTTTCTGTAAAACATTTCTCATTACAATATCTTCACATTCTTTAAACTCTTCTCCAATTTCAACTTCTGGAAAATCACGATCCTATAAAAAAAATTAAATATAATCTCCCAAATATTAATGAATAGAGAGAGATGTGTTGGTGGGAGAGGATTTGGGTCCCAGTTTAATCTTGTGACTGGTTGAATCTGGGAAAAACTAGAATTTCAACTACTAGTAAAATCTGATAAGCTACTAGATTTAGTTGACTTGAGATTAGGGTGATTGAAAAGTAACAAGTTACTATTCAATAAAAGGCACTGGCACAGGGTTAAAGTTATGTTTACAATAATTGTGATGCTAATATGAAAGGAACTAAATCAAAGATGATCATAACGGTTATCATATAAATCTTCTTGGACCTAATAAAGATGTTGACTTGAGTACACCAATCATTGAAATATTGTGGTAGAGAAACAGATAGCAAGCTTAAGATATTTAGTAATATAATAATACTTACAGTATATTGAAGTAAATCATTAGTACCTCGTCTCATATTGTCAGGGTTCAAATCATCAATAACACGATCTATAATAAATATATTATATACTATATATTGAAATGTTAACTGGGATATAGAATGAATCTTAGAAATAAACTAAGAAGGAGAATTCATGTCTGGTATGTGGATGTAGCTGTAACACGTATAAATTTTGTTTCCATCATTCTGATTTCCCATTCTGCTCTCACTGAGAACCAGGTAAGGAAGATTTAGTAGTGTCTATGGTCAGATGAGATAAGATTGGCTTTATTGACCAGTTATCCCTGATTTTCAGTGACTAGTTTCGTTCAGGATTGAACTCTTCAGACTCGGCAAAGCTGTCTTATGTACTGTTCGATCCCAACAAAATTTGGCGGGGTGAAAAATTCTTGGCAGGGTTACCGGGGTTGGATGTGTAGGGTTTACAAGGAAAAGAAAAGTGAGAGGAAATCAATGACAAAATCTGAACTTGGGTCCCCACTACTTTTCTTGTTTCAGTGTCTATGGTCAATTTCAACTATAACAGTGAAACCGTTCTTAGCAGTAAGCTTATTCTCAGTTAACCAACATGTCATCTGAAATAGCAAGCTTAACAAGTCCTGACTGAAAGACTATTTGATCTGTTGAAGAAAAAGCTTCTAGACTGGCACTTCCTCTAAACAAACAGTTTGTGAAAGGGCTGCCAGGTTTTATATTATTATAGTAATCTAAAGATGGAAAAGCTCACCGGACATTTTCTGTTTTGAGACCTGTCTATCGTAGATCTTTCTCTCTAGCGTATTATCAGTGACTAGACGGTAGATATAACTATTCTTCTTCTGTCCGAACCTAAACACACGACAAACAGCTTGACAATCATGACATGGATTCCACGACGCGTCAAATACTACCACTCGATTGGCTCCGATTAGATTAATACCAAGACATCCAGCCCTGAAATACAGAAAAAATATCTTACTATATGATAGTTCAGAAATAAATACATTGTAGTGCATTTTAAAACCAACATGAAAAAGAAAAAGTTATCCATGGAATCCATTCAATTTTCACAATTCATTTAACTTTCATTTTTTCTGAATTGGGAGAAAATTCAATCCACATAATATTTGGGAACCATCTTTGATCCAACGTGATCCTAAACGTGAATTGCTAAGAGTAAATATAAATAAATATAATATTCATTACCTAGTTGACAATAAAAACAACCAGGATACATCATTATTGGGTTGATTAAACTGAGATATTAATTTTTCTCTCTCTTGTGCTGATGTACTTCCATCTAATCCTGAATTAATAAAACAATAAACTAGTTAGTGATATAGTATGAGTGATCAAGTAAAACAGTTGGTAAAATGACACAGTTAACCTCTAACATCATGACAATACCTGTAGACCTTTTCTCAAGGGGAAATTGAGATCAAATTTCACAGGTTGTTGAAAAATGTCCGGTTGCCAAAAAAATAAATCAACAGCCCTGACACATACTCTACTAGACCTCTGTAAACACTTGATTCCACTCTGTGACTTAGGAACCAGGGTTATAAATATTCATGACATGTAATTTTCAAACTGGCCAATCAGTCTTGGAATTACGGGTGAAACCTCTTATTTGAAACAGTTGATAGTTTATTACCTGTGTTATTAGTAAGGTTTAGCCCCTTACTCTCCCCCCACCCCCACCAATACCTGTGTTATTATTATAAGTTATCAATGTTCCTCAGACTTAAACTAATGAGAATGAAAGAAGATTAATAAGTCATGTGATATCAAGATCTGTTTAAAATAGATCGACATCTTAACTTACTAGTTTTTTTTTACATCATTGGAACATATCAATAACAAAATAATAACAGAAATATTACAAACTCTGGCAATATCAAATCAATCAAATAAAACATCTGTAAGCTACAGATACAATATGGCTGTCCTAACGCTAAAGACAGGTAAATTGAAAGGTATTCAAAATATACCGGTTAGAAATGTCAGCAGAATATTGATTACAGCTGATTACTAGATATTATCAATTGAACACAGCTGATTACTAGGTATTATCAATTGATTACAGCTGATTACTTGATATTACCAATTGATTACAGCTGATTACTAGATATCATCAATTGATTCCAGCTGATTACTAGATATCATCAATTGATTCCAGCTGATTACTAGATATTAACAATTGATTACAGCTGATTACTAGATATTATCAATTGAACACAGCTGATTACTAAATATCATCAATTGATTACAGCTGATTACTAGATATTATCAATTGATTCCAGCTGATTACTAGATATTATCAATTGATTACAGCTGATTACTTGATATTATTATCAATTGATTACAGCTGATTACTTGATATTACCAATTGAATACAGCTGATTACTTGATATTACCAATTGAATACAGCAGATTACTAGATATTAACAATTGATTACAGCTGATTACTAGATATTATCAATTGATTACAGCTGATTACTAGATATCATCAATTGATTCCAGCTGATTACTAGATATTATCAATTGATTACAGCTGATTACTAGATATTATCAACTGATTATAGCTAATTACTAGATATCATCAATTGATTACAGCTGATTACTAGATATTATCAATTGATTACAGCTGATTACTTGATATTACCAAATGATTACAGCTGATTACTAGATATCATCAATTGATTCCAGCTGATTACTAGATATTATCAATTGATTACAGCTGATTACTAGATATTATCAACTGATTATAGCTGATTACTAGATATTATCAACTGATTACAGCTGATTACTAGATATTATCAACTGATTACAGCTGATAACTAGATATTATCAATTGATTACAGCTGATTTCTAGATATTATCAATTGATTACAGCTGATTACTTGATAATATCAAATGATTACAGCTGATTACTAGATATTATCAATTGATTACAGCTTATTACTAGTTATTATCAATTGATTACAGCTGATTACTAGTTATTATCAATTGATTATAGATGATATCAATTGATTATAGTTGATTACAAGATATTATCAATTGATTACAGCTGATTAAAGGCCCAGTGTTTAATCGATATAAGAATAATGTAACTTACTGAAATAAGATCTGTTTTTACACCATTTTTCATTCATGTCTGGACGAGGAACATTTCTCTGTGACAGGTATTCTTCTATTAGATTTAACGTAAACAAACTCTGACTGTAGAGAAAATAAATGTTGAAAAAGTAACAAGTTATTAAGAGACAAGAATTACAGCCATTTGAAATTGAAAGGTTATAATCGGATCAAAGTTTTCGGGAATAGCAAGAACTATAAACGTCACACAGGCGTCTTGTAGGTGCATTTAAAGCTAATATCGTTCCTTTTATCAATCCAAATCATTAAATATAACAATTGGTATGTGTTGTAATGAGGCAGGATATACAAGATTATTGATGTAATACTTGCCATCTTTCTTACCTAAATATTAATAATTTATCACCGACAGCAAGAGACTCTTCTATAATGGAGTTAAGAAAAACCATTTTACCAGAATGTTCTAGAACTCCAGGTACGTAGTCTTTCATCAGTTCATCCGCCTGAAAATAGTGGGCACAAAAAGATCTTAACATAAAAATTACCCACAGACATCTGACAAATCCTGTTGAAAACTGGGACTCCCTTCTTTCTATGCTCAAATGCTGGGATCAAATCTTTTTTTTCCATGCCAAGATAAACACAGGAACTTTAAGTTAGGCTATGTTTAAATCTTATATTTCAATTGATTTATATTTCCTCCTTAAGAGTCGACTAATCTGTAAATGAAGATCAATGCCTAGGGTTGGCCAAGAACCAAGACATGGATCTTTGAACTTGATGTTTTCTTTGTAAAATATGGATGTTTTTTTCTTTCATGTTCAAAATAAATAACAAAATGAAGATGAGAAATTCAGTTAATATATCATACCCAGTCGTAAGTAATCATGCCATCAGTCGTGTCCTTGACTTTAGATTTTTTCTTCCCTCCCTGTTCATTCCCCTCCAGATCTAAATCATCATCATCTAGTTTCCTCTGGGTCACGATTTTATGGAGAACATCAGGGTGGTTCCAAATCTGACAAATTAACCATAACAAAAATATGAAATAACCAAACATTATACAGTTCATTTGAACTTTTCAATGACAGTTTCTAAGTGTTTCTTCAAACCTGAGATATCAAAGTGTCGCAGCAAGTTGAAATGGATCTCTATCGAGCTCTAAAGTAATTATCAAGACAACTTTTAGACAATAATCTTGAAAAAGTGAAGCTCAAGAAGTACTTTTTTTATATAATCTGAAACAACTCAAATTTCTTTGTATGCTATTTTAATACAAATGCCTTGCGATTGAATATAACTGACAACAGATTTAACTGGCCAGTAATTTATGGTCTATCAGTAAAGAAATTCTCTAATCTTACCTTACAGCAAACTGAGAAACTTTTTAAAGGGTTATTGTTGGCCCAGGAACCGAGAGCCGTGTCAGATATAGTAGACATAAATCTATTATACAGCGCCCTCTGTATGGGAGACATTCTAATCATAAATACATATTCTTTCTTCTCTGGTAGACTGAGATTTAAAACAGCATGACCTCGGCTGTAATATAAAATATATTATGATCACCTTATATTCAAACTAACCATTCTCCAGTTACTCTGTGGTTAGGTTTATCAACAAGGCAGCCATTTTGGACTGTTTTCATAATGATTAGTCAATCAGTAGTCCTTTTATCTTCACAATGGTCAAGGGATTATAGACTGCAATCCAATACCTTGACTGTAATAGTCACTATTTTTGTATCATAGAAGTTCGTAAAAGACTTTATTATGAATATATGAACTTGGTACTTATACCTTGACTGCAATAGTCACATTTCATGTTTCAAGTCTTGTAAAGTCGTTATAATGAATAATGATAAGGCAACTCAAGTAGTCCTTTTAACTTGACATATTCGCTACGTATTATAGCTTGTATCACAGAAGTTTGTGAGTACAGCAATTTGATTTGTTTGTATTCTAGCAAATATAGCTAATAACAGCTCTACTAATAATTACTAGTTCTAGTCTGCAATCATAGAAGCCATTTATTAATTGTTTCTTGCAAGACCTTACAGTGTAAAAAGTTGTGTTCATAATATGATTTTAATGTCTGAAAATATAGCAGACTGCTTATGTTCATGTTCAAGTTGTTCCCAATTTCATATAAATAAATTTTACTTACCGTTGAACGAAGCCTTCTAACAAACTATGTAGAACGTAGGCTCGATGTCGCATTACTCGTAAATCTTTATCTGTACTATCAACACATAGTCCATTACTCATTGGTCGTTCAAACATGTTAGAGAACTCTGTCTTAGTACCGAGAAAATTGGGTCGAACGAAGTCTACCATACACCAATATTCTTGTAGATTATTTTGTAATGGATAGCCTGTTAATACAACTCGCCGTCTGCAATGTTAAATATTGATTACAATAATATAACTAACAAAAGCTAAGTTTTAAGTTTCAGAAAAAGGACAGAGATGCTACAAGTTCATAGAATTAATTGGTTGGGCAGAAAAATTGATGCTTAGGAATACATCCTGTTTTCTCTACATCTGAACAATCTAAGAATAGGATCATACAAATACAATCAGATTGGAGGTCCAGCAATATATATTGTGAATAACAAGTATCAATATTGAGCGCTTTGACAGTATATCACCCAACTCTAATAAGAATTAATGATATTAACAAAACACACCTCATGAACGAACCTCAATGTGGTGTACATAGAAAATTTCACTCATGGAGGAAAAGTAATCTTGTTATTTTAATACTAACCTTGTTTTAATATTTTTAAGAGATTGTGAAATACCAGCGTGACTGTTTTTAATTCTATGTCCTTCATCACAGATTATAATATCAGGACCCGGGTTCACTAACGCCCCAAATATATCTATAAAATAAAACACAACACTACTGACAGGGGGTGAGCTGACTTCTCTAGAGTTACGCATGTTAAAGTGTAGGTTAAAGAAAACAGAGCTACCTGATTGTTGGTGTGTTACAAATATACCGTAGTAACATTATCAGGTTGTGAACTCTCTGAAAGGGATGGTCTGCTGAACTTAGATGGATAGTTGCATTTGATTTGGTACCTTTTCTTAACTCATTTTCATCCCTTAAAATCAAAATTTTAATAAACTTTACCTATCATTAATGATTTATTTTTATCTTCTTCATCAACATCAATAATTTCTGGTTCCAGACTGATTTTCTTGGATTTCTTTGGTTTGGTGGCAAACGTTTTCTTGGAGGAGAGAAGTCGATACATCTCATACCCCATTAATAATACACCTCCCTCTTCCTTCCATTGGGCTGAAAGATATAGAATATAGAAATAATTATAGTTTATAAATTGTAAATAAGTTTTAGTTTTGTGTGTATCAGGGACACTGATAGAATGGATTTGCACCATTTTAAGTTTTCATCAGATGTCTGTGGTTCCTGCAAAACTAAAACTGAAGCAAGAAGTTTTATGACATCACTATCGCAAAGGGCCTAAGATATTTTAAGACGCTTAATAATTGTTAACATGATGAAACACTCTCAACTTTTATCTATTGGACAGTTGAACCAAACCATCCAATAAGTAAATTGTATCAAAAATATTTTGCACGATAATCACATAATCTATAAATCTTTCTTTCTAATAATATATAACTGTATGAAAAAAAGATTTACCAATGAAATTCTATAAAAAAAGAGAAAAAACTTACCAATAACTTTAGCTCGAGCTGCAGTAGTTTTATAATTATCATTTAATAAAAACACTTTATAATTTCTCGGATGAACATCATTTAACATTTCCGGTGGAATAACGCACGGTTCTGGTGCCCACATATTAAACTCTCCCATCCAGTTCTGTAACGTGTTAATAGGAACGATACACAAGGCTTTTTTAGCTTTAGTATAACGTAAATAAATATCTATAAAACCAATCATCTGTAGAGTTTTTCCAAGGCCCATACTATGAGCTAAAATACAACCGAACCCTGGCGTACTCTCGTGTCTTTCTAAACATTCTACAACATTGTCATATAGAAACCTTATTCCACCAATCTGAAAATATACACAGAAAAATTCTTAAGCCATGTTAGATTTAAGCCCGTTCAAGCTCTTTGGTGAAATCTTTTGGCATAGAGAGAAAGAAATTAAAATATAATTTCGCGTCTATAAGCCAATCATTATGTAATTGTAAAGAGGTTTTTTTTCAGTCAGTATTTGTCTTTCTTGTAATTTCACTGAAAAATAATATCTTATTACTGAGAACCTTTTGTGATAGTGGCTTCATTTACAGTTTAACATTTCTATAATTACAGGAACCACAGATATCTGACAGAAAATTTGGAATTATGCAAATCAGAAGTAACAAAATAATGGTCCTTATACACACAAGAAAAATAGAAAACCTCTTTAATATAACTTCTTCAAAGTCAATAGCAAACTCCAAATCAGTTAAAAAAAAATTGAGAAGTTTTCAAAAATGACATTGCCTACCTGATGAGGTTTGATGGCTCTTGCTATCTGTGGGGTCAGGAACACATCAGGATCAGCTGGTGGATGACTGAGATTGACTAGAACACGTCCCAATTCATCAGGACAATTAGCATCATCGTTAATATGAGAACCAGCATTATTCATATCCTCTTCCTCGATTAAATCATCTTCTGTTTGTACAATCGTTACTCCTTCTTCATCTTCATCTTCAGAACTTAATTCTATCACTTCTATAATATTAAATAACATAAAAAGGTTAAATCAATCACTTTTATAGATTAGAAATACTACAGAGTTTAACATCCAAAATATCTCTTTAAGAACACCATGTTTTTTCCCATATAAGCAAAATTGACAAAACTTAGAACCAATAGATGGATGTGTCAATCAATCTTCAGACTATGTTACCACCATTATAATTCTTCTGATCTCTCTTGATGAAATAAATTATATTGTTTTTTAATTCATTTCTATCTAAATAGGAGAAATTAAGGCAAATTTGAATCTAATCTTCTTATCAAAATAAAGTCACAAATTGGTAAAACTAGAATTTACCTGCTCTGAGAAACAGATCGAAGTTAATCACCCCACGTAAAGAATATCGAATCACTTTCAGACTTACCCCTTTCTTCCTCTTTTTCTACCTCACTCTTCTCTAGAATAATCACATCGTTATTTTTACTGGCCTCTTCTGCCTCGTCTTCTGCAGCTAAAATATAGGATAATTTAAGATAACATTAACACAAAAGCTACCGATAATTATATGGACCACAAACATCTGATGGAAAATTGGAATGAAACAAGGTCCTGATGCTTTTAAAAAAGAACCACCATAACAACTATTATAGATATACTACTAATTCCTTTAATTTATATTAAATTATTTAATATATACTTGTTGTTCTGTTTTCTATCATTATTATTTTGTGCTTGATAAAGATTCCTGTTTGAAACGTTGTAGGAATTAAAGGAAGGAGTAGTATATCCATAATAGTGTTCTTACTTATTTAATGTTCTATCTATTCGTTAATTTAAAATATAAGTCTAATAAAAGACAAACCTTGTAACAGAGATTTCAACTCGGAATCCTTTTCTTCTTTGATTGGTTTCTGGACCAGATTTTTCTTTAATTCATTCAACCTTTTCTTTCTCTCGAATTCTTCGTTCTGGGCATCTATTGTATCTTTATCTAGATCAGCTTCTTTGATGATTTTCCTAGAAAATATCCAAAAGTTGTCGTCTATCTTTGAAGCTTATAATAATAGTAATAATTTCATTTAATGTAAGGTGGAAACAATAGTCAATAATAACTATAATAATGTGAAAGGATAAGAGGGGGTGAAAGCAGAAACCAGACAGACTTTCGAAAGTACTAGCAGTGACATAGATTCGAACCCACAGCACCTAGCAGATGACAACGCAACTCGCTACCGACTGACTTGTTCCACTGCCACGAAAAGACAGTGTTCCAACCCAGCGTTATAGGGAAGTATTGACGTTTACACAGTTCGAAAGTTATTAACACCTTCAGTGATATGAATTTAGTATGAAAGACAAAGCGATGCAGTGTGCAACAAGGGAAATTTTGCCAGAACAAAGGGCATGGCACAATAAAAAATTATCTAACAGAAACTAACCTGATATTTTTTCTGTTATAAGTTGATTTATTACTCTTTAACTTTTTCTTTGACTTGTCTTTCTTATCCTTTTTACGTTTGCGTTTTTTAGCCGAGGATGGTGGAGGTTTAGCGGAGGTGGACGGTAAATCAGGATCTGTTGTTTCCATAGAAACAGCTGGAGTTTCCTCCCCTTCCAGTTCTTTATCATGTTCGTTGATTTCTTGATCAACCTCCCCCAGTTCATCTTCTAGTTTATCTAAATTTTCTTCATCCAACATATCACTGTCTTCACTTTCTTCTGAAGTAGAAAATTAAAGAAGATTAAAATTGCAATAGAGTTGAGACAAAGACAAAACACCATGCAGTGTGCAATAAGGGAAATGCTCACTTAAATCACATTTTCTGTATTAAAAACGGAACCAGCTATAGGACTTTGTTATACTCATGTCATGGTGCTTTCTAAAAAGGAAAAGGAGTTTAGGCTACTAACACACCACAATGGATTCCCATGATATTCAGAGTTATGCTGTTTTAAAAATATCAATGAAAATACTGACCTCCTTCTTCTCCATCGTCTTCTTCTTCCTCATCTTCTTCTTCTTCTGACCCCTCTTCCTCTTCCTCACCCTCCCCATCCCAGTCACTGTCAGCCCCTGGATCTTCATTAGCTATATCTTCTAATGACTCTAATCCTACAGGTAGAAAATATGGCAGTTACACACAAATAAAGTTTTAAAATTGTACAGATAGGTAAAAAGTAAGTTTGACAATTTATAAAAAAACAAGATGATATGCACTATTTAATGACAAATAATAATGAAGCAAAGCTGTTAAAATATTTCAATGACGGAAATATGCGAGGTATTTGAGCTAACATGTCTTCATGGCATTTCTGTATTTGAAATTGTAATTAACTACAGATAAATGTAACAAATATTTGTAGTGAAGAGTTAAAAAAGAGGTTTAAATTTTTTCAATTAATTTTACGAATCTTCACCTTGATTGCTGATTTCTCCATCACCAACGTTATCTAAATCTTTGACATCTTCCGCGTTTAAATACGTATCTTCATCATTCGGATTGTCAGCATCGAATAATCCTTGCCGAAGAATAGAGTCATCTTCTGTAGCATCGACGGCTGGCACCACAGCCCCGCTTAAATCATCAGGAAGTTCATTGTCCATATAATTATCAAAGTTTAATTTATTCGACAGGACGTTTGTTAAATTACTCGACTGTTCTATTTCAGTACTTGAATCTCCACTAGCCATTTTTTTTCTTTTCTGCGTTCTTTTTTACGTTTTATTTTTACATAATTTCGTCTTAACTGAAAGAGAAAAGTATAATGGTAATGAAAGTGTTTCACTTTTTGGAGAATCTAATTCATAGCAGTTGTTCCTTCCTCAATTTTAACCTGATTCCTTCCCAAATTGAGAGGCCATCATACTTAAATCAGTTATATTGCTATGTAAGAAACAGTAGAATATTTTGACAATAGAAAACCTGAATCCAAGATCAGTTTTATTGTTTAACAAAAAAACAAACAAATAAAGATATAAGTATTAGGGAGAAACCGAGCTAAATTTCAGTCATAAACCACTGCATGCCTTTTCACATACACAAGAACTAATGGTCTGTGATCTACACCCAACACTCAATAATATTAATACTGATGACTAGAGTTATTTTCTTAATTAACAACTAAAATCAGTCAGCCTTTTAATTGATTCAAATTAATCAGTAGAGTTGGCCTACTCTCTGACTATACTGGTTTCTTATGAATTGAAATATTAACTACAAATTACTACTGGGAGTCTTAGATTGTCACTGGGTTGATGAAAATGTTAACCACTGGAAAAGTTGTTAATTGTAAACACGATTTTATAGAGGGGAATATTCAGTACAAAATGTAGGTCATTTTCATGTAAATTTTCTGGGACGAAGCGTGTAATCCCTGAACTTTACATTCTATGGACCCAAAGACATCCAAATACAAATGGCATAAAGTTTAGATTTATATTTTGAATATTTCTGAAATGAGAGAAAAAATTCAATTCAAAGCGCACATTCAATGTAGTCAGAGAGTTTAGCAAATAGGCTAGGTAACTTAGGACTTTTAGCGTTCTAGAAGTTTCTGGTAGTAATCTTAAATAAGCTGACTAAGTGACTCCACATTACATGCCTAATGTGCGTTATATTAACTCAATGACACTGCAAATCCAAATTTACTTAGTGACAAAATAAGTATTCATCATTCCGAAATCATTTTAAATAGGATAGGTCAACAAAAAAAGTTTTCCTTCATTCCTTTTGTGACTTTGGCCCATTCATTACCTGTCTTCAGAAAACTAAAATAAAATGTGTTGTGTACTTGTATGATTTTTCAGAGATAAAAATAGATTATAAAAATTCCACAGAAATTACTACAAAATAGAAACTATCCCGGTGTCAATTTTATCATGAACAGCTGAGGGGATCAGCTCCTCTCTCTTGTCAATTTTGATGGTACCTGGCTACATTTTCAAACTACTTACAGCATATCAAAGACTCAATTTAGCTTCACAACTCACAAAACTGACTGGAGAATTCCACCTAACGCCTCCCAGCAAATTAGAATGATCAAAATATAAAGAATAATTACATAATCAAGGTGAATCGGCGAAAATCAATTTCCTGGAAAATTTCTATTTCTTGCCATTGTTCATTTAATAACTTCCGGTGTGTTGAATTCTGGGTTAAGATTTGACAGGTGCCCTTTGACCTGACCCTTGAACCGGAAGTTTAATCTATACTAGCGCATGTGCATTTCACCTGTACATTCCACAACAAATTTGTTTTGGCTGGAAACGGGATTTCTGAAAGTTTACTGGAACCGGCATCTGGAAATCTAAGAAGCCAGCATCATGCGATCGGTTCCAACATGGGCTGACAGGGCTTGCGATAAGGACAAAGTTGAACAATGGTATATTTTTCATTTATTTTATATTTTGAAGATGAATTAAGAGAAAAATTGAAGTGACATGTCCACCCTCCCCCCACCCCTTCTTTTTAAAGCTTGACATTGCCATAGGGCCTTCGTTAAGTCCCTTTCCGGAGCCACAGATCTTCGATTATATCAGATTTGTTTCAAACAGCTCATGAGAGAACCTGAGTGTGTGTAGCCTACTTTATTTTGGTACCCCAAAAGTCACCACCATTCCTCGGCTTCTTTTAGTTTAAGATAACCCTGTATGTCTGTCTGTCTATCCAACTTCGGCATTTCCATAGAATATCTATGTAATGTGTGTGTGTAGTTTATTGGGATTTTGTACGAAGAATCAAATTTAATGCTTCAATTTCTAACCGTCTTCATTACCCCACATGGTGCAGAAAAGTAGGACGTAAAACTCCATTCATTTCATTTCATTTCAATTTCAGTGTATGGGATCTGTGTTTTAACCCGAGTGGAACTCAATTAATTGTAGCAGCTGGAAGTCGTGTTATAGTTTACGATACTAGTGATGGCTCGATTGTCCAGCCTCTAAAAGGACATAAAGATACAGTCTATTGCTGTGCCTACGCTAAAGATGGGAAAAGATTCGCTTCTGGTTCTGGTGATAAAAGCGTTATTATTTGGACAAATAAATTGGAAGGAATTCTCAAATATACGTATGTATACGACCAATGACACAATTTTTATTGTTCAAGTCTAGAAATATTGAACCAAAACCAGAAAATATATTTGTTGTTACTTACAGTTTCAAGCTATGACTTGAAAGTAAAAAATAATAAATCAGAACTTAAAAAAACATGTTGTTGTTACTCAGAGTTTGACGCTACGTCTCTTAAGTCACTACTGATTAATGATGGAAAACTTCTCCTTTATCATAAAGAAAGAAGAAAGCTCTCCATCTCATGTGTTTTATAACACCTTTAACGTTTTCTATCAAACATTTTGTGTCAGTACTTCCTGTTTGTATAACTATAATGTAAAAGTTTTTGAAAGTTTCCCACTCTCTCTGAATTAATGATCCCAATCAATAGTAAACAAGTAGGATGTAAAACTCCATGCTATTTCTATTTTCAGTCATAATGATCCTCTACAGTGTATGTCGTATAATCCTGTTACACATCAGTTACTTAGTTGTGCCGTCTCTGATTTCGGTGAGTTTTTATCTGACATCACGACATCACATCTAGAAACACGATAATCTGATTGGTTAATTTAAATAAATTCAAGTAATAGACCAATCAGTTTACTGTAATCATTTTGTGATGATTATAATGAAGACTGTAATTGCAACAAGATTTATCCCGCTAGCAATACCTGTCTGACCCAGGTTTTCCAGGGGCTAGACCACAGGCATCTGTTTCTATCAATAGACAGATCTCTCTATAATAATACATTTAACTATTAGCAATATATATACTATTATAGAGAGTCGACTATTAATAGAAACAGATGCCTGTGGTCTAGACCTGACCAGATCTGGATCAGGTGCTTCCAGATCATCAACATGGGATGTTATTTTTATATCTAACTGGCTATTCTTCTATTTAAATCTTGATGTTGAAAATCATCTGTTATGTTGAGAACTTTGTATCTAGAATATATATAGACAGTACGAGATGTTGTAATATCTAACTAGTATTGTAAATTGTTTAGGTTTATGGTCACCAGAGCAGAAATCTGTATCTAAACACAAGGTGAACAGTAAAATTACAGCCTGTAGTTGGACAAATGATGGACAGTACATGGCGCTAGGTTTATACAATGGTTTAGTCAGCATTAGAAATAAGGTAAGACATTTTATGATTTTAATATTATAGAGATTGTCTAGAGGGTTTGTAAAAATTTTATGTGTATCAGGGACACATCAATTTGCACCATTCCGATTGTCAGTTAGATGTTTGTAGTTTGAGCTGCTATAGCAACAGTGACATCATAAACTGCATATTTTAATGGAACTGCAAGAGCTACAGACGTCTGATTGAAAATTAAAATGATGCAAATTGATGCTATCAGTGTCCCCAATACAAATAAAAAGTTTACAGTCCCTTTATGTTGAAAATATAATATCAGTCCAGTGACTAAGGTAAATAATAGGCAGTGATATATTTATTGTAGGGTGGAGAGGAGAAGGTGAAGATTGAAAGATCTGGAGCCAACATGTCACCTGTCTGGTCCCTCTCCTGGAATCCCAGCAAGTAAGTTCACTGTCCCTAGGGTCATTCTTCAGCTCAAAAAATTCAAAAATTACACCAGCAATGTGTTATTGAGGACTAACCCATGGTATTTGCTACCAATAAAATTTGACATAACTCTTTCAAAAGGATAGTACTAAAATTATCCCCACATTATCCGGGCATGTTTCTAAGGGTAAATCCACTAAGATTCATACCTCCTAAGATAACTAATATTGATGTATATTAATTGTAGAGATGAACCGTACGATGTATTAGCCGTGGCTGATTGGGGACAGAGGTTATCATTTTATCAACTATCAGGCAAACAGGTTCGTTTTGTATCTTATCTGTGTACCCTGACTAACTCGGGTCTGAATGGTGCCATTTTCATGTACGAATGAATATTATATCTTAAGATTGTAAACCCACTTTGTCACCATCAGTAATAAGGTTTTAGGGGCTAACTTTGGATGTGCTACAGGCTGTGTACGTTGAATATCCCTTGACAGTCGGAAATACAAATTTTTCGCTAATATTGCTTTCTTTATAAAATTTCCCTCCAACACCCTGCACGGCTTTGGCTGTCCTCTTTATCCCAGACAGGTGCTGAAAAGTAGGATGTAAAACTTCATTTCATTTCATTTTGTTTAATTGTGGTCTGTTTTTTTAGATTGGTAAAGACCGACCATTGGGTTATGATCCCTGTTCATTAAGCTGGTGGTCACAAGGTGAATATGTGGTATTAAGTGGGGCCAATAAACAGTGTTCGTTACACACGAAGGAAGGTGTGAAACTAGGGGTGATAGGAGAACAGAATTCGTGGGTTTGGGCCTGTGCTGTCAGAAGTGATGGAAACTATGTGGTAAGTTTTTGAATGTTTTGATCTTGAACTGAAATTTTGAAAACTATAACAGCTACATTAGTTATATGGATAGATATATCATATCGAGTGATTGTATATCAATGTGTTATGATACCAGACAAACTATAGAAACACATGACATAACCTGACATCATCCAAATTAAGGCTGGGTGATATTGGTTCAAGTTGATATCCGATGTCAAGCATTAATATATCATGATATGGGTATATATAGCCATATTATTTAAGTTTGTTTTTTACTGGTTCTTGAAACAAAATTATGATCTAGAAATAAATATCTCTAAATACACCCCAGTCTTTAAAATCATGAAAATGTTTCAACTATTAAGTTACTTGTTAAAATTGTGTAGATGATCTTGTCTGTTGTTTCCATCCCATCAGGCTGTCGGTTGTCAAGATGGTATGATAGCGTATTATCAAGTTATATTCAGTACCGTACATGGTTTATATAAAGATAGATACGCTTACAGAGATAACATGACAGATGTTATAATACAACATCTTATAACAGAACAGAAAGGTAAGATAACATGCTTTATGTTATAATACAACATCTTATAACAGAACAGAAAGGTAAGATAACATGACTGATGTTATAATACAACATCTTATAACAGAACAGAAAGGTTAGATAACATGACTGATGTTATAATACAACATCTTATAACAAAACAGAAAGGTAAGATAACATGACTGATGTTATAATACAACATCTTATAACAGAACAGAAAGGTAAGATAACATGACTGATATTATAATACAACATCTTATAACAGAACAGAAAGGTAAGATAACATGCTTTATGTTATAATACAACATCTTATAACAGAACAGAAAGGTAAGATAACATGACTGATGTTATAATACAACATCTTATAACAGAACAGAAAGGTTAGATAACATGACTGATGTTATAATACAACATCTTATAACAAAACAGAAAGGTAAGATAACATGACTGATGTTATAATACAACATCTTATAACAGAACAGAAAGGTAAGATAACTTGACTGATGTTATAATACAACATCTTATAACAAAACAGAAAGGTTAGATAACATGACTGATGTTATAATACAACATCTTATAACAAAACAGAAAGGTAAGATAACATGACTGATGTTATAATACAACATCTTATAACAAAACAGAAAGGTAAGATAACATGACTGATGTTATAATACAACATCTTATAACAGAACAGAAAGGTAAGATAACATGACTGATGTTATAATACAACATCTTATAACAGAACAGAAAGGTAAGATAACATGACTGATATTATAATACAACATCTTATAACAGAACAGAAAGGTAAGATAACATGACTGATGTTATAATACAACATCTTATAACAGAACAGAAAGGTGACAGATCTTTGGACACAAAGGCTGTAATGAAAACAAAAAACACCATTTTACTGGGATGATAACTTAGGTTCACAGTTAAGGATCCTTTCTACCAGCTGGTCCTCTTCCAAATCTCTTGGCATTAATCTTTCCTGGATTATCTGTACCCATTTACAGCTGGGTCAACTGGAATATGAGGAAAGATTTAAAATCAATGACCAATTTTTTGTTATACGTAATCAATTGACACCAAACTGGCATTGCATCTAAAGAAATGCACCACTAATTGGAATGGAATCGTAGTGTCTTATTTCATATAGCCATGTTATAACAATACCTCTTAATGATATTTGTAGAAGGTAAAATTAAACGACTAGGAGAAATATTTAAAGATCAACCCAGTGAGTTGAAACTGTTCCAAGTTGACATTTTATTCTGTTTCCTTTCAAAATTTAGAATAATTATTTTCAGTTTGTTTTTATTATGTAAAGAAAGTTGAAATTTTATTTTTGAATTTGTTATGACTTTTTTTTTCATGTTTGTCAATTTTTATGGTTTAGTGGGTATTTCTTTGAATTTTTGAAATTAAACGTCTATCTGGTGACATTCTGAGTATCTGTTTGTCCCCCAATTAGCAAGTGGTTTTGTTTTTTTGAAACTTAGTACATACATGATATCCCCGGATCCCAACCTGTGGTGTATTCACCCATTGGTGTAGGAGAAGAATTTATTTTGAGTTGAGAGAGCATCTCAGATCATCACACGCTGAAAATATGGATGAAACAAATTTTTGGGGGTGTGAAAGGTCCAGGTGATTGCTCCAGGGGTGTGAAGGCTGAAAAAGGTTGAGAACCACTGCCCTATTTTGTCAAATACTGCGGCTAGGTCACTAAACAACGCAATTCTCAGGAAGCTAACAGATATTTGTTTTATTTATTACAGTGAGAATAAAGTGTAGAGATTTAGTGAAGAAGATTGCTATTTATAAACATAGACTAGCTGTAAGTTTTTATTTTTATATATTGCTAACCTGACTGGTTCTTCACTGCTTTTTAATACCAATCTCTTGAGTATTATCAGATCTTAGGGGCATGCTCTGCCTTACCACAGACAGCAGTCACAGTACTTACTTTATCAGTTGGACTTGATATCAATAAACTTTCAGACTTGGACTCAAAAGTTTACAGCCATCTGTTTTCTACCCCCATCATGATGTTTTTGTCTTTTACCCCCACTGACTGAAATATTATTATGTTTTAGGTTCAGTTGCCAGATCGTGTTGTTATCTACGAGTTATACTCTGACGACTCTGCTGATATGCATTATCGTGTGAAAGAAAAGATTAACAAGAAACTAGAGTGTAATCTATTAGTTGTCTGTTCTCAACATATCATACTGTGTCAGGTACAATCATATTTTACATTTTCTTTGTCTAATTAAAGTGATTGTTTTGTAATTTTATAAACTGAGACACTGATAGCATCATCCTATTTTTAGCAGCTCAGGCAGTATTCATTCGTGCACTTTTCCTTAAGACAATAGCTTTCATGTGCGAGTAAATTTATCTAAGATTTTGGCCATCGTGGACAAAAACTTGAACATCTTTGTGATAATTTTTTCCACAAATGAACAAATGCTTGTGTGTGCTCGTTATTAAAGATATCTGCTTAGAGGCAGATTTATCTACACATGCGTAGTCATGTGACAATGCAAAATGGCTGCAGAGTTTTGATTTTGTTTATTCTCAGGAAAAAAGACTTCAATGCCTGTCGTTTCAAGGTGTAAAAGAGAAAGAATGGGTGATGGATTCATTGATAAGATATATTAAAGTTATAGGGGGAGCCCCTGGTAGAGAGGGGTTACTGGTTGGCTTGAAGAATGGACAGGTTTGTTCTAATATAGATATTTGATTTTCCATGATAACTTTATGGCTTTATAACTCTGAGTTCAATGAGTTAGTTTACATTGATTATGGGTAGCGAGTCTCAGTATTGGTAATTAATCTGTTTTCAATTTGGCTGTCATATAAATATAGATTTAGAAATATTAAAACAGAACTTAAATATTTATATCTGAAACATTTGTCAGCAACATAAGGTCAAGGTGATATCTTGTCAATAGCAGTCTTTTAACTTGGAGCCAAAAGTTGGACATTGATATCAACTGCTGGGACAAAATTTTTCAAGTTTTGTTATTGTGTTAGCCTGTCAGATCTCGCATTGGCCTAAATTCAATATGTTCTTGGACTTGGGATCAAGAGCTTATTGATTCTTTTACGATTATACTTCTTTTCATCTGTTATCAAAATCAGGCAGAGAAAATTAGGATGTAAAACTCCACTTGTTGTATTTCAGATTATGAAAGTTTTTACTGATAATCCGTTCCCTATTCAACTATTAAAACAACAGACGTCAGTACGATGTTTAGATCTTAGTGCCAGTAGAAATAAACTAGCTGTGGTTGATGAACATAGTACAGTTCTAGTTTATGATCTCACCACCAAGGAACTACTCTTTCAGGTTTGTAATATTGTATGTATTTCAGTTTGTCTTACAACCCAGTACGTAGATATACATGTATAATATACGTATGTTTCTGATAACAGTAGACAAAACAAGTTCATGTATATCCCAATTACTGCTTCTATAAGTATAAGTATAATAGGGCAATGTGAAACAGGTTATGATTCTGTTAAAATGTGCAGTGATGCAATCTTAGCGTAGTTTCAGATGATACATTCAGATTTTTCTATGAGGTCCCCCACCCTTCATCACCATTTAGACATATTCAAATCTCAACTCGTTTATAATCTTGAATTTGTACAAAAAAATATATTCCAGACAAACTTTCCTAATTTTACATCTGATTTTAATTAACAACCAGGACCCTGTTTCATAAATATCTTACTGTAAGATATGCTGTAAATGTAGAATATTATATTGTAAATACCACACTTTGTGAAACAAGACCCAGGCTATATTCTAAAAGGACATGTTATGAACTCTGTGTATTTTACAGGAACCGAATGGAAACAGCGTTGCCTGGAATAGTCAGTATGAAGATATGTTATGTTATTCTGGTAACGGTACTCTTAATATTAAAGCCAGTAACTTTCCTGTTCATCAACAAAAACTACAGGTAAATATACCTTTATTTAGTTATTGAGCCCTTTTTTCAGGACATGAAAGACTGTCAGTCAGAAATCCAAAACTAGATAAACTCTGAGTTGTCACTATGACAATAGACTAGTGCTGGTACGATATATTGGTGAATCGATGTATGATATGTCACGATACGCATGTTAAGTTAATAATGTTAATCCCATTACTCCATATTGTGATACATATTGTGACCATTGTATAATGATATGTATCATATCATGACCCTTGTATAATGATACGTATCATATCGTGACCCTTGTATAATGATACGTATCATATCGTGACCCTTGTATAATGATACATATCATATCGTGACCCTTGTATAATGGTATGTATCATATCGTGACCCTTGTATCATATTGTGACCATTGTATGATGATATGTATCATATCGTGACCCTTGTATCATATCGTGACCGTTGTTTTGTGATACGTATCGTATTGTTATATGTATCATATTGTTACCCTTGTATCACGCTACGTATCACATCGTGACCCTTGTATCGTGATACGTATCGTATCATGGCATGATTGATGATACCCAGCACTACTATAGACTTATAAAGATATAGTACTATTATCTATAGTAGTATAAATAGTTAATGAAACTTAAACTCAGAGTCAGCACTCTATTCATCAAAGAAACGTACAATAATCTTTTGTAGAAAATTTCGGCCACATGACATTATACATCATATTGTTTAAACTAAAATATTCTCATTGTTAACTTCTGGCTCATGGTCAGTAAGTGTATTTATTTATTTATTTATTTATTCCAGGGATTTGTAGTAGGGTTTACAGGATCTAAGATATTCTGTTTACATGTTTACGCCATGTCAGCAGTAGACGTTCCCCAATCAGCTCCCATGTATCAATATCTCGAGAAAAAACATTACACGTAAGTTTTTATTTGTTTCATTTATCAAGAATGATAGCTATAATATAGGTGAGAGCTAACTCTGGGAAGCACTGGCACAGGCATCAGAATATTTCTTACCTTGAGTAGGATTTGAACCCACAGCACTTAATCACCTAGCAGACAGCAACCCAACTCTTTACCGACTGCAGAGCTATTCCACTGCCACTGAGTTAGGATTCTTCATGGCCCCTGTATTAAAAGATTAATATTAGTGATATTGAAAACCATAGTTGATGATGTTTTTTTGAAGACAGTCAACATAGAGAATAATTCATTAAAACCCTTGAGTGAGCAACTTGTATATTTAACAATAAAATTATGGATTTTTGCTCTTATATGATGTTTTTCCGTTTTCCAGAGATGCGTATAAAATAGCGTGTTTAGGAGTAACCGATGGCGACTGGGAAGTTCTAGCTCACGAAGCGTTGGAGGGCGGAGATTTTAACATCGCTAAAAAATCATTTATTAGAATCAAAGATTTAAAATATCTTGAACTTATCCACAATATCGAGGTTTGTAGTTGTATTTTGGGGTTTTTATTTCTGTTTTTTAATATTTTACTGAGCTGAAGTTATAGGAATGGAGACTTGTCTGAAATCGGCAAAAATTAAAACGAAGGCTGTTTGTTTAACAGATTGTTTAAGATCCCTCATCACTTGCAGATCGGAACCTATGTGGAACCTATCAGCTGGTGTTGTGGCTGAATCTCCCTTATTATAATTGTCATAAACCTCCATTTCATTTCATTTCATTTCATAGCTCAATCCAGTACAGTAAGTCGAAGAAGGCACAGAAAAATTAGGATGAAAAACTCCATTTCATTTGATGAATATAATTTCAGGAGAGGAAGAAGAGAGGAGAGAATGACAGTCTGGTATTTCTTGGAGACGTCTATTCCTATCAGGGAAAGTTTCAAGAGGCAGCTAAACTTTATAAAAAAGCCAATCAAGAACAACGTGCTCTCAATATGTATACTGATTTACGTATGTTTGATTTAGCCAAGGTACATAACTCTTTCTCACCTTTCAAACCTTAACACAGATGCCAATTTTTACAATTGTTCGACTTGGCCAAGGTACATAACTCTCTCTCTCTTATATTCACTGCTAGAAATGGCACAGAACTCGAAATATGTCCTGTGATCAAACCTTATTAGTTATTACAACTTGAATATTATTAGAAACCATCCCACCTGTTTCACAAATCTTATTACAACTGTAGAATTTATCATGCATCGGACAAAATTGATTGTAAGATTTTTATGAAACTGGCCACGTATTCTCGAAACGGTCTTAGAGCTAGGATATCCTAGAATCAATGTTAGAAGATAAGAACCTGGGACATCCTAGAATCAGTGTTAGAAGATAAGAACCTGGGACATCCTAGAATCAATGTTAGAAGATAAGAACCTAGGTTATCCTAGAATGAATGTTAGAAGATAAGAACCTAGGTTATCCTAGAATGAATGTTAGAAGATAAGAACCTAGGATATCCTAGAATCAATGTTAGAAGATAAGAACCTAGGTTATCCTAGAATCAATGTTAGAAGATAAGAACCTAGGTTATCCTAGAATGAATGTTAGAAGATAAGAACCTAGGTTATCCTAGAATCAATGTTAGAAGATAAGAACCTAGGTTATCCTAGAATCAATGTTAGAAGATAAGAACCTAGGACATCCTAGAATCAGTGTTAGAAAATAAGAACCTAGGATGTCCTAGAATCAATGTTAGAAGATAAGAACCTAGGTTATCCTAGAATCAATGTTAGAAGATAAGAACCTAGGACATCCTAGAATCAGTGTTAGAAAATAAGAACCTAGGATGTCCTAGAATCAATGTTAGAAGATAAGAACCTAGGTTATCCTAGAATCAATGTTAGAAGATAAGAACCTAGGTTATCCTAGAATCAATGTTAGAAGATAAGAACCTAGGACATCCTATCGATAAGATCGTTTCGAGAATACGTGGCCTGGAGCTTTGAAAGGAAAAGGAAATCTGGATTTTTTTAATGGATTATTTCTATCTGTGTCTCACATTGTAATTAATATTATCATCATGAATATTGATAGGAATTTATCGGAGCGGGAGACCCCCAGGATAAGAAGTTATTAATGACGAAGCAAGCTGATTGGGCAAAGAGTAGTAACGAACCTAAGGCTGCAGCCGAGATGTATTTATCAGCTGGTGAAAATAAAAAAGCCATAGAAATTATCGGAGACAATGGGTGGACAGATATGTAAGTTGTGATTTTACTGGGTTTTTTTATAAAGAACCTGGGCCCGGTTTCTCTATTAGCCTATTTGAAACTTTGGTGCATTGTAAATGTCTCATCTTGTTAAGTGCATGAAGAAATGGGATTTGTTTCTCAAGCTTGTGTCAGCAGCATGATATGAGCTTATAGTCAATAATGATAATCTTAAAAACAATCTCGATTAGTAAAAATGTTCAATATAATCACTTGGTACAGTGAAAAAACACTCAATATTTTGGTGTCTGTTGATTTTTTCATCAGGATGATGTGAGCATTATTTACTATATAGTTTTAGTACAACGTGGTGATAACTGTTTTCACAATAATACGATTATTATCCACTGTATTCTACAGGTTAATAGACGTAGCGAGAAGATTAAACAAAGCAGATCGTGAAGCATTAGGAAGATGTGCCTATCATCTAGCCAGGCTAGGAGATTACGGGAGCGCTGCAGAGGTCTACAGTAAAATGGGAGATACCAAATCTTTGATTGAAATGAGAGTCGAAGCCCAGCACTGGGATGATGTAAGTTCAGATTGAAATTTTATAGTGAAGCCAAGCAAAGATATTTGTGCCAATCACAGGAAATTTCAGCAAAAATAACACAAACATAAACAAACTAGTTATAAAAAATGAGTATAAACGTGAAATATTTCTAATGTTTGTTTTTTATTCCATCAACAGGCGTTTACATTGGTAGAAAAACATCCTGAATTTAAAGAAACAGTTTATGTACCCTACGCTCAGTTTTTGGCTGAAAATGATCAATTTGAAGAGGCCCAACAAGGTGAGAACAAATCAGTTAAATCTATAGATATACAGTTGACTAAACAGTATTTTCATATAATATTTACTTGTCATCTAGTCTAACCATCGTTATATTTCAGCTATCCATCATACACATTGCAGAAGCTGTGAACATTAGTTTTATCCTGTGTCAGTGTTTTCTGTTGAATTATAACACCTTAACCTCAAATTTTCTCCTGTGCCAGTGCTTTCTGTTGAATAGTGACTTGTTCTTTACTTGTTTAATATTCTTGATTTTGTTGTTTTAACCTTAATCTCTTATCGCAGCATTCCATAAAGCTGGACCTCATTAGTAAACATGATTTAACCCTGTGCCAGTGCTTTCTGTTAAATCACCTTAATGTCTTATTTCAGCATTCCATAAAGCTGGTCTCCAGGCCGAGGCTGTAAAGGTATTAGAACAGTTAACACATAATGCCGTGGTCGAAAGCAGGTTTGATGATGCTGGCTATTATTTCTGGAAACTTTCTATACAATGTCTGGATATAGCTCAGGGTTAGTTAGGTTTTTTGCTTATTTCTATTTAATTACATTGTGCTATTGATTTAGCCAAGATAAGTTAAAATTGCTTGTGAATTCAATAGACACTAAAGTTTTGATTGGATTTTCACAAAACTTGGTAAAGTTGAGCAGTAATAATTAATATTAAATCAATTTTCCCATTTTTTTTAGGAATTTCCCAGACTTGACATTACTTTTTACTGAAATTCTTTTTTTTTTACTTGAACATTTTAATGTTATATCTATTTTATGATGTTAGATGAGAAAGATAAGAAGAAAGAAATGTTGGAGAAGTTTCATGATTATCAGAAGAAAGCTGAGATGTATTATATGTATCATACTATACATAGACATGTTGTAAGTTATTTTTCTTTTTAACCAACAGCCTCGACTACAGGGGCAAATCTCTTATAATGTTGATGGTTGATTCAAATTATCGAATAAACATTCCGACTTTGGGCAAGTTCTTATACTGAGATATAAGTCTTACTCTTGAAGGACAAGTTTTTCTTTTTGAGTATTGTTTAGTGTCATATTAATTAATATTTATCAGATTAGTTTCTGCAGATGATGAGTTGGCATTTTTCTTGTTAATCCATTGACGTATGCTACCAAAGCCAGGACCCCATTCCTCAAAATATCTTATAAAAAGAATTTGTCAGAAGGAATTTTATATTCAAAGGAATATATTTAGGTACAAAGGCCATGACTCTCTTGCGTATAAATCCCCTCCCAAGAGTAATTTGTATGAAGCTATGTATTATTATATTTTCAGGTGGAACCGTTTACCTCAGTCTTACCTGAAGGTTTACTTCATATATCACGATATTTAGTTCACTGTATTGGTTCAGATCTAACTATACCTCATGGTATCTCTAAAGGGTAAGGTTCTGTTATTTTAAACTATTGGGAGGGGGGAGGGGGTCTCATTGGTTCAGATCTAACTATACCTCATGGTATCTCTAAAGGGTAAGGTTCTGTTATTTTAAACTATTGGGAGGGGGGAGGGGGTCTCATTGGTTCAGATCTAACTATACCTCATGGTATCTCTAAAGGGTAAGGTTCTGTTATTTTAAACTATTGGGAGGGGGGAGGGGGTCTCATTGGTTCAGATCTAACTATACCTCATGGTATCTCTAAAGGGTAAGGTTCTGTTATTCTAAACTATTGGGAGGGGGGAGGGGGTCTCGTTGGTTCAGATCTAACTATACCTCATGGTATCTCTAAAGGGTAAGGTTCTGTTATTCTAAACTATTGGGAGGGGGGAGGGGGTCTCGTTGGTTCAGATCTAACTATACCTCATGGTATCTCTAAAGGGTAAGGTTCTGTTATTCTAAACTATTGGGAGGGGGGAGGGGGTCTCGTTGGTTCAGATCTAACTATACCTCATGGTATCTCTAAAGGGTAAGGTTTTGTTATATTAAACTATTGGGAAGGAAGTGATTGGTGACTGGTGTTAGAGTGAGATTTAAAAATCCCGAAAAAAGCACTGGCCTAGGTCACAAAACAGAGATAACTTTTGATTATCACAAGGTGTTTTTTAGTAAAAACTAACTGTTAGTGGCTGGTCTCATTAGTTCCAATTCTTGTCTCAATCGACGTTACACAACCAGATAATGTCATATTAAAAATTTCTCTGCCATTTTGAATTCTGTCTGCAGCTAGTATTGTTTTTGGAACTTGATTATTTCATTTCATTATTTTTTTTATTTTTTAGAGCTACATTCTATACTCTAGCTAAACAGAGTAAAAACCTAGGAGCCTACAAACTAGCGAGACACGCGTACGATAAACTTCAGTCCCTGCGTATCCCTCCTAGGTTTATAGAGGCAGTAGATCTCGGTAGTATTACAATTAAAGCTAAACCATTTCAAGATGAAAAGGTCAGTGGATATGCAAAGTTATTAAAATAATATCAGACAATTTTTTACCAGTCTTGTTCTAATGAACTATTAACCAATAGAATTGTGTCATGTAGGAGCCTTATCTAAGAGTATTACTTATGGTGACTGTCACCTATCCAATGAGATGTTATTGAATCATCAACTGGATGAGCCCTGGTCGATGTATTCTGTCTTGAGTTATTAGATGACCTATCCAATGAGATGTTATTGAATCACCAACTGGATGAGCCCTGGTCGATGTATTTTGTCTTGAGTTATTAGATGACCTATTCAATGAGATGTTTGGAATCACCAACTGGACCTGGTTAAAGCAGCAACTTGTCTTTTAATTCCAGGATTTGTTACCATTATGTTATCGTTGTTCAACAACAAACCCATTGTTAAATAAAAAAGGTGCCCAATGTGTTAACTGTTTACAACCATTTGTTCATTCTGCTGTTAATTATGGTAGGTAACCTGTTCTACCTGTTTGTATCCTATCTGTTCACAGTTTTGTTTTATTAAAAATCTCTCAACAATTTGACATCCAAATAGAGAAGGAAATTTTGTCCAGACAGCTACATCAGCATACTAATTTGTTATTTCTAACTGTCGAGGGATCTTGTACAGCCTGTAGAACAAGGGGCTTTGATTTATTGTCTCATTGAGGTGACATTAAAATCTTGAGATCTTCAGATTAGTGAGGAAGTGTCTAGGTTATAGAATCAACTCAGTCTTCAACTAATGTTAGGTTAGAGAAATAATCTAGTACACTCTTAAAACTATTATAAAATAAAAATCTATACAAGCAAATCAATTCTGTTAATCAAAAATCGTATCAGACTGGCAAAATCTAGAGTAAAAGTTGTATAGTAGTGAACTCATAAAGAGAAGTACCATCAGGTGTTTCAAAAAGAGTAAGCATGGTCTGCTTCACACACGACTAATTGCTATACTATGATTGACAAGCCATCTTGTATGTTTTATAGAAGTTCTACCACTAGTAGAGTTTGTAATAGAAGATGGTATAACAGATGAAGAAGCTATCCATATCCTAGACATGTCTATCGGCAAACCTCGAAATAAAGACCCCACTGGAAACTGGTCAGAAAATAAAATGGCCAACACTCAAACATTGAGACTGGGTGATGATCTTGAACAGGAGGATGATGATCCTTTTACATCCAGACTCAAAATACCAGATCAAGAGGTAAATAATGGGGATTTAGTTACTCAACTCATTGGCTTCAATTTTAGTTACCTGTATTCCTTCTCAAATATAATATTGGACATTTTTATATTTTTCTTGGCCATAATTTATTTGGGAAATTTCGTATGATATAATATATTTAATATTAATTTTGCAACTACGAACACCTGTACGAAACTTATATATAGATTATAAAGGTTACCCCTAACCACAGGCATCTGTTTCTATTAATAGTCGACTCTCTATAATAATATTTATATATATACTATTATAGAGAGAGAGTCTACAGTTGAAAGAAACAGATGCCTGTGCCCCTACCTCTTGTATGAAAAAGTTCTTATGATTCACTAACTTCTATAAATCATTAAGCCAAAGTTTGAAAAGTTTGTATCTCATTTTCACTGAAGCTATCCTGAAGTATCTGTAGCCAGAATGACAAGTCGATTAAAGTATGATTAATTTTTCTATCTAACAGGGAGAAGAGGCTGTATTTAAACCAGTTTTAGTCACCAAGAAAGTTTTACAATCAATGTCAAGGTCAGAAGTGTTTATATTAAAATGGCCGAAACCGTTACGATACCAGTTTTTTAAATCATTATTAGTTGATGTCTCTATTACTAAATGTCCATCTTGTAACAAGGTATGTGTTTTCACGATGTTTTCTTTTGTTGTTAAAAAAAATGGAATCTGGTTCACAAAAAACAATTGTCAAGTTAAACATGATTAAATAATAGAATTACGTGTATATTATTCTCATCTCTACCACTGAATGAAATTTCAGGAGTATTGTCAAGCATCGTGTATTATAACACCAAATACAGTCATAACATTGCTGGCAAATTAAATGCTGAATCAAATCATATTCCTTTTTATACGCCCACATGGAAATGTGGACGTATATTGCCGTCACCCCTGTACGTCGGTCCGTCCGTTCACATTTCTTGTAGGCACAATAGAGGGTACAGTATTTATCCAATCTTGATGAAACTTGGTATGCATGTATATATTGATGAGATCTTAGTCAAGTACGAAATTGGTAATAATCAGATGGATGGTTTCGGAGTTACTGACTATCTTTGTCTTTTTAATGGTTTGGCTAGTTTTCGCAGTGCAAGTTTGACGTCTCAATATAAGTGATATATGTATGACATTGAAGCACCCAATCCATGTCACTCCTCTGTTAAAATCTGGTAAAATTTGAACCCTGATCTCAGGTCATGTATGTAGTGAAAGTTAAAATATGTTTTTCTATATTTCAGATGTTTCATACAGGAGATTTTGAACAACATTATTTACAGAAAGGTCATTGTCCATTCTGTCGAACCAAACATGAAGATTAGCTTTTATATTCTTTTGTATTCATATATCGAAGCATTCTTAACCTTACAGAACACCTGGTTCCATTTGGCGATTAGGTTTGTCAACTGTTCATCTCTTTCTGGAATACCTGATGCCATTCTTTAATTGTGTTTATCAATTCTGCATCTTTTATGTGATAAATACATTCTTGTGATTTACAGAACACCTGGATCCATTTGGCAATTTGGTTCGTGAACTGTCCCTCTCTCTCATTGATGCATTCTAGCAATATCATATATCAGAACATGCCTACCTTTCCAGAATACGTGATGCCATTCTTGATCTGGGTTTGTCAACTCAGCAACATCTTTGAGAATTTGTAAACATAAGATATATTATGGTATTGTATATATTTGTTGCAAATTGAATCTCTCTATGACAAAAAGCAACATTTCTTGTTATTATTTCATTATTTATTTAAGTTTGAATTTATTTATTCAGTCAAATATTATAAATAATGTTTGGATGAAAAGACCAACCATATTATTTCAAAAGGCTTCTACTTCATAATCAAATATTGTTACTTGTACCATATACATACTGAATTACTGATTTATATTTGGTGGTTAATATATTTGGTGTTTGGATTAAGTAAGCCTATATAAATATTTATTTATTAAAGGGACAGATGTGCCATTTTAGGGGGTTTAGTTTGGGTCTTGAATATTTGTAAATAGTCTTTAAGAGGTACTAGAGGTCTCAAAAAAAGACGAACCGTCTTGTCAATTTTCAAACGTGGATAATTCTTGATACACATGGTTTTGAAGGCTCAAATTTTGACGGTGAGCTGTGAACACTATTACTGATTGACTTAGCTAAAAAATTCCCAGACTAAAGTATGATTGGTTAAAAAAAAATGGAGCATCTGTCCCTTTAAGGTTAATTAATTATAAACTATTGGTATATTTGGTGTTTGGATTAAGAAAGTCTATTATCATTAATATTGATTGAAGATTGATTATCAACTATTGGTATATTTCATTCCGTCCTGGTATCAGTTTTATTCTGTGATAAAATATTTTGTTATGCTTTATTTAGTCAGTGTTATTTTATTTGGGTTGATAACTATCTAATAGATTCTAGTCATACAACAAGTTTAAAACAGTTTTTAAGTGATATTTAGCAATTGTGAGTAGGCACACCTTTATTGAACAACAATCACTGGTTACAGGTTTTATGTTGAAGACAATGAGAGAAACACGTTGAAACTTGCATTAAAATTTAACCAGTGATTGTTGTTACATAAAACTGTGTCTATATAAAGTGGTCTGAAAGATATTATCTAGACTTGGGACAGTTTCTATTTGTCAATCTGAGTTCCTGTTTGATATCTGTGATTCCATAAAGACATTGCCATTGCCAACACCATTGAATCCTGATAATAAAAGTTAAACAGTACACAAGCTACAAAAACCTCCTTAATTTCTGTCACTGATCATACAATATTACCTCCATTGTACACCCCGTGGCATCTTCATTGGCAGGGCATGATCAATTTATAAAACAAAATTGGCTGACAACTAACATATTAATTTGAACATTTTATTTCATGATTATACTTTAACATGATATTCTACATAACAAATATGAACATTTACATTATTCTCATGAGAACTTTTTTAATCTCTTAAGAAAATGGAAGAAATGATTCCACTATTATATTCTGTCTTGATTTTCCAAATGTGAAATGAATTTTACACAATGAGAACTTTTTCCCCAATGAAAATAGAAAATGTGATTTTCCAAGCTAAAAGATGATGTGAATATTTACAAATGAAACGAAGACCAGGGTTGTTGAGTTGAGAGTTTTGCCACTCATTTAATTAATGCACATTGGAGACCAACATTTTTCATTGGCTGAGAATATCTCATTTATATCATGACCACAAAAAAATACCAGTGTTCCTCAAATTCTTTTTACCCCAAACACAATGATTGTCAAATCTTCAATGTCCCTTAAAATGTTGATTTTTCCAACTCATTCCACAAATATTCAAGAAGCATGACCGTTATTATTTCTTTGGGGGCACAAAATTTTTATTGGGACTGACAACAATATTTATACAGATGGAACTAGAAGTTGGGAGGGGGAGGAGGTGGTCTCATGTTAGGGGGTGGAGGTCTATTTCCCCTGGGTGGTTGGGGAGGGGGTGGTCCTCCTGGGGGTCCTCTAGGGGGTGGTGGTCTCATTCCTCTCATACCAGGTGGTGGGGGACCTGAAAATATACAAAGATTAAATGATAATGACAATAAAATATTTCAGAGTTAAAAGTAAAAGATGGTGGACCACAGCCATATACGCCCACCACGGCATGCAGATGGTAAAAACGAAACATCAATTTTAAGTTTCATCAAATTCGGTTGAAAACTAAGAGAGTAATAGTATATTCAAGATTTTGGGGCAAGGGCAATAACTCTGCTTCTAACGGTCGAAAATAGCACAAATTCGAACTTGATCTTTTTTTTATGAATATGTATACACATAACGAATTTCATTTGATTCCATCAAAAAATCTAGTTTTAGAGCGTTTACAAGCAAATGGTGACGGACAGACAGAGGTGTCGACAATATACGTCCACATAGAGAGATACGGGTGTATAAAAATCGATTATTACAGCGGTAAAAAATCTTACATGTCCTTTGATTGGTTAAAAACAACACAAACTCATCAAAAAAGGGGTTTAAAATGTAAACTTGTTACTCAAAATTCTGTTAACCTAACTATCTTTTCAGTTTGAACAGTTTGAAATATACGCGTTATTGTATGTACTTACCTCCAAACATAGGATGTCGTGGTGGGGGTCCTCTCCAGCCAGGGGGTGGGGGTCTCATTCCTGGGGGCATGGGCGGCATACCGTAACCCTGCCCATCTCCCATATAACCACCGTCCATATTTCCTGAAATAGAAAAATAAATATAAATTTACAAATCAACCTCAGAACATCCGTAAAACAAAAATGGCAAAGGATAACATTAGAGCCTAAGAAATTTTCGTTGAGCAAACAACCATTTAGTGCGTACTGCTAGTACGTAAAATAGCTTTACTAGAATTCCATCTATTTAGAATAATTCTTGTACACCTTGGCTTATTTCTAATGGTGCCACGATAAATATCCAGGTCTTACCTTGATTCATGTTGGGGGGAGGGGGAGGCATCCTGGGAGGTCCAAACATACCTGAAAAATAGATTATTTGTTATTCATACATATCCTGGGTTAAAGTCAAAAACCACAAGAATTAACAGTTTAGTGGCCATTAAATCATAGGGCTTTCAATAACATTCAGATTGTAAAATTCTTTTTTATCAAAAAAATCAAATCTAAAATAAAATTGATTTAAATTTCATGGGATAAAGATACACGAATTTCAAGGATCCAATAAATTGTCCAGAAAACTTGTCCCAAGAAGGGACACAAACTTACCAGGGTGCATGCCCGGTGGCATGGGAGGCATTCCACCTGGAGGCATAGGTGGGGGCATCATACTGCCAGGAGGGGGGACAGGTGGTGGTGGCATTGGAGCTGACGATGACTGAACTGAAATAACAATCATAAATATTTTTAATATTTTTCATCAACAATACCAGAACAAATTATCTCCCCTGGGAATTAACTTTCAAATCATGTAACCTCTATTTCATTTCAGCAAAAAGGAAGAAAATTTGCTTCTCTGGATTAAATTTTACTATTCTAAAATAATAAAATCTATATCCTACCTGACATTGGGGGCATATTTCCCATGCCTGGGGGTGGGGGAGGGGGTGCCATATTGGGTGCTGAATGTAATGAAGGTGGCTGGGAGGGAGGAGGTGGGGCGTCTGCGAATAATTGATGAGGTCTGTCTGTCAGTGATAATGGATTCTGTGAAGCCAGTAATCGTTCTGGAATTAAAAATATAAATATTATACATTATCAATTTTCTAGAAATATTCAAACAATGGAGGTACTGAGCATTATTTTAACAGTGAGAATATTTTATCATTGTAATTAATTTTCTATTTATACAACCAACCTGTAAATATCTCTCTACAAATACTTCAAATTAAATTAAAATTTCATGATGGTTTCTTTTTATATTTCTCATTTGTTAGAAATAATCAACTGGAGAGTAACAATATAACTGTGTTAAAGTGACAGATGTGCCATTTTGGGGGGTTGATTTTAATCTTGAATATATGTAAATGGTCTTTAGAATTGCTAGAAATGTTCAAAAATCACATAATTCCTTTAAAAATACTTCAATCTCAATATTTTTTATATATGTATTCTCTGTATATCACAGAGTATCTTAAATTGACGAGTCTTCATTTTAACATTCAAACACTGACACATACGTATTTGAAAGCTCAAATTTGGACGCTGAGCTGTGATAGGTATTACTGATTAGCTTAGCTAAAAAATTCCAGTTTCTGAGGCTTAATTATGATTGGTGAGAAAAAATGGCCTATCTGTCCCTTTAAGTCTCACACGCAGTTATCCCCAACTTTGAAAGAATAAGACTGGATATCATTTCTAGAGAATTATACTGACTGATAATTTTCTATAAAATTGTTACATTCAATAATTCCTACCTGCTGCAGTTCCATGTCGTTCTCCTTTCGAATCTTTTTTAAAAGCGTAAGAAATAGAAATAGGTCTGTTACATAAATACTGTCCATTCATAGCTTCTATAGCTGCATCCGACGCCTCAAAACTGGCAAAATTTATAAACGCAAAACCTTTAGAATTTCCTGTATCGGGATCTCTCATTATCTGGAATTTAAAAATTGATATGGTCATCTTATTATTCTTTCCAATTACAAATTAGATCTAGTCATCTAGAAATATACTTTCCCCAGCTAACATATCTTCAAGAATCAAGTTTTATTATATATCATTCCGACACTGAACATCAAAAATAAAGCTGTAGTGTGGCTTCAACTAGACCCTGTGTTGATGTTAATCAAAATTCCAATGTAAAAGACGTTAATCAAACAAAAATGTCTACCTAGAACTTTTGACTATCTTTAGCGTAGTCTTTAGTAGAAATATACTAAAAAAATAAAGTTGTGTTTCTACCTTAGGAGTTTGTAAAATAACACCGAAAGCACTGAATGTGTCATATAATAATTTCTCATCAACTTCTGGATCTAAATTTCCAATAAAAATATTGGCACCGATATCCAGATTCTTCTGATGAGCAGACGCCTATAAAATATAGAAAAACATTTTATAATATCAAAATGATGAAAACACCCCTTAAATTACCATATAAGACAATTTCTGACAGTGAGGGACCACCATGGTAAAAAACATCATATGGTACAACCTAATAAATCACTAAGATTCCTTGACAGTTGTATGTCTGAAAAGGGGTAGACCAATGTTTCTGTCAATATTTCCTTCATTACATGACGTATGGCTGTGCCCGTCTTCAGTTGACCAAACAGATGCAAAAAAGTAAAAAGTAATGTAATGGAATCATTTGATCTGGAAGATAATTTTTCAATGATTTGATACCTTGTTAACTCTGATAGGTTTTCCATATAATTTGATCATATTCATTATTTTGATGGCGTAATCAGCATCTTCTTCTCCTAGAAACTCGATAAAACCATAACCTTGATGTGTCTGAGTTACTCGGTCTTTAGGCATGTGAACATTCACTGAAAATAAAATAGTACCATACGTATCGCAGAATCTGGCATATTGATATAAGATAAGGTAATGAACACTTTAGTTCATTAGAGTTGTAAATCTATTTGGCTGTGAACAGTCACCATATTGCAAATAAAATAAGAAAATTCATCATATATTTAGTTCATGAGCGCACGTTGGCATGAAAACAGTCACTGAAAATCAAAATAAACGTAATGCTCTTGTTTCCCAGAATAAAGAATTTGGCATGCTCAAATAAAAAAAACTTCCACCTGTGTTTTTATCAGCCAATTTTATACTCCACTGAAACTTTCTTGAAGACAGAAGATAACTAGTGCCTGCCAGGAGGCATTAAACATCACTTTGTTATAACATAGTTTTAAAGTTTTCAGATCTACTATTATATCAGCCACTACTAATCAGATTGAAATGAGACTATAACTAATTTTCATACAAGTGTAAGCTTAAATATATTCTCCAAAAGTCAGAATATGAAGATGCCTTACCAACAGGACCAGCCTGTAAAAACAGTTCCCATAATATAGCTTCTGTTACTTTATCATCTAATCCTCCTACATATACTGTAGCATCTACAAATATCATCAAATTACAAGGTTATTAGTTATGACTTATAAGCACACAAAAAATATTCGAATGCTCTCTATCCTTCACACAGGATTTAAACTGAGGTTCCTTAATAAGTCTTCTCTGCAAAAGAAGCATTAGGCCCCCAGTTCCCAACTCGGGGTGTTTTCACCCATGGGGTGTGGGACTAGAGTGTCAGGGGTATGGCCAACTGGTGTAGTAGAAGAATTTTCTTTTTAATTGAGAGAGTACCTCACATCATCACGAGCTGCAAAGTTTTTGGGTGCGAAAGATCCAGGGGATTGCTCCAGGGGTGTGAAGGCTGAAAAAGGTTGGGAACCACTGTTATAGAAGGTCTCATTTTAAATGAACATGATACAATTCTATATAAACATGAATTGATGTCAGTATCCCCTAAATCAGAATTATCAAATACCCTTTACCTACTCATTAGATAGCCCGGAAAAAGTACAGTAGGTTGGATTCTGCAAAACCATGACACCGTTTTTCATTACAAATGAACGAGCACTTCAATTAGCGCCATTACACGAATTTCTTTCTTAACATTTTTCATATTTGAAGCATTATGAATTAAAATAACACACTTTAATAAACACCTACCTTGATTCCGCTCGGCAATCGGTGCCGAAGACATTTTTCTTAGAAAATAAACAAAACGCTCACGTTGATTTTGCTATTTCCGGTTTTATGCCGCATTCGATCGCTCCCCCTGAACACGAACAATATTGCACTCAAGTTTACGTTGCCCTACGACTGTGTGCTTATACGCATTAGGTCTTAAAAAATAGGCGTTTCATATCTGCTTAATTGATTTTATCATCTTGAATGATCCAGGATAGCTAATGGACTCATTTCATGTCTGAATGGGACCATAGCGCAAAGCTTACCAATCTATCATGTCTAACTAGCTAGTAGATTGTCTGGTACAATGACAGTTTTCTGTGGTCAGAATGGGACTAGAGTATACCAAACTATCGTGTCTAACTCGCTAGTAGATTGTCTGGTACAATGACAGTTTTCTGTGGTCAGAATGAGACTAGAGTATACCAAACTATCATGTCTAACTAGCTAGTAGATTGTTTGGTACAATGACAGGTTTCTGTTGTCAGAATGAGACTAGAGCATACCAAACTATAGTGTCCAACTAGCTAGTAGATTGTTTGGTATAATGACAGTTTTCTGTGGTCAGAATGAGACTAGAGTATACCAAACTATCATGTCTAACTAGCTAGTAGATTGTTTGGTATAATGACAGTTTTCTGTGGTCAGAATGAGAGTAGAGTATACCAAACTATCATGTCTAACTCGCTAGTAGATTGTTTGGTATAATGACAGTTTTCCGTGATCAGAATGAGACTAGAGTATACCAAACTATCATGTCTAACTCGCTAGTAGATTGTTTGGTATAATGACAGTTTTCTGTGATCAGAATGAGACTAGAGTATACCAAACTATTATGTCTAACTAGCTAGCAGATTGTTTGGTATAATGACAGTTTTCTGTGATCAGAATGAGACTAGAGTATACCAAACTATCATGTCTAACTCGCTAGTAGATTGTTTGGTATAATGACAGTTTTCTGTGATCAGAATGAGACTAGAGTGTACCAAACTATTATGTCTAACTAGCTAGCAGATTGTTTGGTATAATGACAGTTTTCTGTGATCAGAATGAGACTAGAGTATACCAAACTATCATGTCTAACTAGCTAGTAGATTGTTTGGTATAATGACAGTTTTCTGTGGTCAGAATGAGACTAGAGTATACCAAACTATCATGTCTAACTCGCTAGTAGATTGTTTGGTATAATGACAGTTTTCTGTGATCAGAATGAGACTAGAGTATACCAAACTATCATGTCTAACTCGCTAGTAGATTGTTTGGTATAATGACAGTTTTCTGTGATCAGAATGAGACTAGAGTATACCAAACTATTATGTCTAACTAGCTAGCAGATTGTTTGGTATAATGACAGTTTTCTGTGATCAGAATGAGACTAGAGTATACCAAACTATCATGTCTAACTCGCTAGTAGATTGTTTGGTACAATGACAGTTTTCTGGGGTCAGAATGTGACTAGAACATACCAAACTATCATGTCCAACTAGCTAGTAAATTGTTTGGTACAATGACAGTTTTCTGTGGTCAGAATGAGACTAAAGTATACCAAACTATCATGTCTAACTAGCTAGCAGATTGTTTGGTACAATGGCCGTTTTCTGTGGTCAGAATGTGACTAGAACATACCAAACTATCATGTCTAACTAGCTAGCAGATTGTTTGGTACAATGACAGTTTTCTGTGGTCAGAATGAGACTACAGCATACCAAACTATCGTGTCTAATTAGCTAGTCGATTGTTTGGTACAATGTCAGTTTTCTGTGGTCAGAATGAGACTAGAGTATACCAAACTATCGTGTCTAACTAGCTAGCAGATTGTTTGGTACAATGACAGTTTTCTGTGGTCAGAATGAGACTAGAGTATACCATACTATCGTGTATAACTAGCTAGTAGATTGTTTGGTACAATGTCAGTTTTCTGTGGTCAGAATGGGACTAGAGTATACCAAACTATCTTGTCTAACTAGCTAGTAGATTGTTTGGTACAATGACAGTTTTCTGTGGTCAGAATGAGACTAGAGTATACCAAACTATCGTGTCTAACTAGCTAGTAGATTGTTTGGTACAATATCAGTTTTCTGTGGTCAGAATGGGACTAGAGTATACCATACTATCGTGTCTAACCAGCTAGTAGATTGTTTGGTACAATATCAGTTTTCTGTGGTCAGAATGAGACTAGAACATACCAAACTATCGTGTCTAACTAGCTAGTAGATTGTTTGATACAATGACAGTTTTCTGTGGTTAGAATGAGACTAGAACAAACCAATCTATCGTGTCTAACTAGCTAGTAGATTGTTTGGTACAATGACAGTTTTCTGTGGTCAGAATGAGACTAGAGTATACCAAACTATCGTGTCTAACTAGCTAGTAGATTGTTTGGTACAATGACAGTTTTCTGTGGTCAGAATGAGATTAGAGCAAACCAAACTATAGTGTCTAACTAGCTAGTAGATTGTTTGGTACAATGACAGTTTTCTGTGGTCAGAATGAGACTAGAACATACCAAACTATCGTGTCTAACTAGCTAGTAGATTGATTGGTACAATGACAGTTTTTTGTGGTCAGAATGAGATTAGAGCATACCAAACTATCGTGTCTAACTAGCTAGTAGATTGTGTAGTACAATGACAGTTTTCTGTGGTCAGAATGAGACTAGAGCATACCAAACTATCGTGTCTAACTAGCTAGTAGATTGTTTGGTACAATGACAGTTTTCTGTGGTCAGAATGAGATTAGAGCATACCAAACTATTATGTCTAACTAGCTAGTAGATTGTTTTGTACAATGACAGTTTTCTGTAGACAGAATGAGACTAGAGCATACCAAACTATCATGTCTAACTAGCTAGTAGATTGTTTTGTACAATGACAGTTTTCTGTAGACAGAATGAGATTAGAGCATACCAAACTATCGTGTCTAACTAGCTAGTAGATTGTTTTGTACAATGACAGTTTTCTGTGGTCAGAATGAGATTAGAACATACCAAAAACTATCATGTCTAACTAGCTAGTAGATTGTTTTGTACAATGACAGTTTTCTGTGGTCAGAATGAGATTAGAGCATACCAAACTATCGTGTCTAACTCGCTAGTAGATTGTTTGGTACAATGACAGTTTTCTGTGGTCAGAATGAGATTAGAACATACCAAACTATCGTGTCTAACTAGCTAGTAGATTGTTTGGTACAATAATAATAATAATAATAATTTATTTCTATAGTGCCTATAATCCAGCAAATGCTGATCCATGGCGCTGTTGTACAATATGGCAATAACAGTTTTCTGTGGTCAGAATGAGACTAGAGTATACCAAACTATCATGTCTAACTAGCTAGTAGACTGTTTGGTACAATGACAGAATGCGACTAGATTAGAGTTTTTATTTTGATAAATTAGCTTAATACAACCAAGTTGACATAATTTGATAAACAGTATTAACTATGTTGACTCTATAAAAGTGTATAGCATAATAAAGATTTGGACACTTTGTAAGGGATACTGAGTTGATGAACCTTTATACCAAATAAATATTATAAGTTATGTGGACGCTCTTTATGGGGTGTCGAGTTGACCAAAAACCTTGAAATGGGCGAAAGAAAAAAAGGTTGAACACCCCTCCCTTACACTATAGGTATTTCGCATATAAAACGGTGTTTTTTCGAAGCCTCACAAGGTGTATCATTAAACACGGTAGTCTTTGTTTTTGGTTTAAAAACAGCCTGTAAACAGTCTTCAATGCCTTTATAATTATCAGGTTGGTCGACATTCCAGTTAGTTACATTGGCACCATTAAACCACTTCCAGTCTTCTGTACTAGCTACTAATTCCACACCACCTACCAAACTTTTCACTTGTTTTTGGTCTGAAAAAGTAGAAAACCTTGATAAATTCTTATTGAAAACAGTAGGTGTTAATTACTCGACGAGTTTGGGATACCTTACGTATGAAACTACAATTTCTAAACAATTACCGTAAAAAAGATAAATGAACGGACCAATTTCTTAATAACGGTTATTGAAATGAATGGAGTTTTACCTTCCACTTTTCTGCACCATGTGGTCTAATTAAGATGGCGTTGATATCGGAAATGTAGTACGTTCATACAGCCCCCCCCCCCCCCCCCCTTGGAGCCCCGAAAGCAAGTTTTATGGTCAAAAATCTCATAACTAGGTTAAATATTCAAACCACGACATTTACCAACTGTGAGAAATTCAGCTAAAAATTTCTCCTTCTCCACTGAATCGATGATGATTAAATGTCCGCCATCTTGTTCACACCTCTTCTCAGCTTCTAGTACTGGTTTCTTATCAGACAGAAATGGTAGAAAACACAGGCTGAGCTCAGGATTCTTGTAATAGGATGCTGGGCAGGTGTCTAGAATTATAATTTATAATAAGTTATAAATAAGTTATAAATAAGCAACTATATTCCACCAGTGTCGGCGTCAGCCTACCGAGATTGGGGGGTACAAATAGGGGGTAGATTGAATTAATGGGGTGGGGGGTCGGAGGGGTAATTATTAAGGCTTGTCACAAACTTCTCAATATGGGTCTGAGGAAAAGTTCGTAAAGTGGATGTGTTGCATTCTAACACATACTTTGGCGCCGCAACTTATTTTATATTTATAAGATATCAGTAGTAAAGCGGAACGAAAGAATACCAAAGTTTCAAAACCAGTCGGAAAACCCACGGATAGGAGAAAATCAGGTGAAAAAACAATCGGTTAACGATATCCCGGAAATGAAACTATATACATAAAAGTGGACCTCTCGAGGGAGGTAGTATCAGGTGTCCCAGAAAGAGTGAGTATACTCTGCCTCGTGCACGACACCCGCCAATATCTAGAAAATCAGTTTCTATGTAGGGGAAATGAGATCGAAATTGAATATTCCAGGAATGATATTAATCACAAATTGACAAATGATGGTCTACACCCAACCTAAACTAAAACATCCGTCAACAACTTTGACACTGTAGTGCCTTAGCGATCAACCAGATCCTTTTGACAACCATAAACCTTTTTCAAGGTAGAGACCAATCAAGGTTTTATGTAACCTTGTGTCAAAAATTTAGAGGTTAAGATGCTGATGATGAAATTAAATAAAGATGATGTTTAACGCCGATATTTTCTCATGAAACAGTACTCTCTATTGATTAGATGTAAATAAATAGACAATATTTCTATTTTCATTGTAAAATCAATTCTATAAATTTAAATTGATGTTTTTATTTAATATAGTTGATATTATTGTATGTATTAATTATTCTCCTAACTGATATTCTAATCCATCCATGTCGTTAATCGATAATCTTTATATTATTCCTGTCATAAGAATTTTTCAATATCTTCATCGATAGAACCGATCAGCAACCAGACCCGTAGCCAGACTTGATTGCTCGGGGGAGGAGAAGAAGGAGAGGGGTGGGGAGAGTAATATATCCAGAGGGGCTATAGTTGAAGTTATGAAATTGGTCGGTTGTCAAAATTTTACAGGCCCCTCCCCCCTTCCCCTTCTATAGTTACGGGCCTGGAGACGACGTATTTTTAGATCTTTATCCTGAATTGTTCTGGTCTTTAAAAAGGCGACAAAAAATTTTAAATAACCAACATTATATCAATTATTTAGATTACTGACAATATTATATTCTGAAAAATCATACGTGGAGTTTGAAAATTTATTGGACCAGGTTCGCTAAATCTAATAATTAAACTAAGTACTAACGATCTGAACTGCAAACGAAACCCGACATCCAAAACATTGGTAGCAGCTAATGAACTTTTCATACGAGGTATATATATGAAGTATATCAATCATAAGTGAGTAAGTATTTCATACCGACATACCTCTAAGTAACCAATAATACACCATTCCCTCTTCAGTCGTAGAACTTGACGAAATTTTGACTCGGTCCATATACAGGTAACATGTCTTGTTGATGGTGTTGAAACCAAACGACTGACAACCACTAAAACCAGCACACTGTTCGGAGCAGCCTGTCAGGGACGTTTCCGTAGTTATATTAGCAAACCCACTCAAAAGTTTAGTGTAGATTTCAATACGTCTGAATGTTGATGGCAAGCAGACTGGGTCACCATCTATAGGTTTACTGTCAATCCATAAAATCATCTGGAATAGAACCAAACTTCTCAAAAGAGATATACATCCTCCACATGTCGTCAGTAAAGACATCATTATCAGAATTGAGACATTAAATAAAATCTCTTTCCAGAACCACTAGTGTGTTACCCTTGGCTACATCCAACCACTCTATCATATCTCAGTCAGTATTCTCTTATTGTTTTTATTGTAACTACCAATTACACCTTTAGCTTACAGAGTTTAAAAGTTGCTAAATTACAGGTGAATTAGAGGTAAATCTCTTTCTAGATCAACTACTGTAATACTCTGATTAAACTCGTGTTAAACACTGCGTTAAATTTATATAACCAATAAATATTCTTCAATATTTCCAACCATACCTGTTACCATTATTTAAAAAATATATATATATATTAGCAAGGACAACTATTATGGATATACTACTCCTTTAATTTAATTTTGCACCATTTCAGTTCAGATACAGGAATCTTTATCAAGCATAACAATTAATAATGGAAATACAGAATAACTAAAAGATAAAGATTCCTGTATGTGAATTGAAACATTGCAAAATTAAATCAAATAATCCATAATAGTTGTTCTTGTTGAATGTTCTACCTACTTCTAAATGTCATTTAAAGATTATATATATATATATATATATACATTTTGTTATCGGGAAGTCCACGCTTCATATTTTCACACGATGAAGCAAGGTTTATATACCCACGTTCATTCAATCCTTAAATATCCACTGAATGTTGTTATTATAAATGCTTTTATACATTTAGTTAAGTTAGATAGAGTATAAAAGTTGAAAAGTCAATATCAATATAAGATGATCTAAGGGGAATATCAATAACCAGCCCAGTCGTTCACATACACTGGTACCTGGTTTATTTATTTATTTATTCTTTCTTTAACATCTGATTCCACTCTCTGTTTAACTCTGTTTAATTTAAAATTTAATTCGGGCTTTTATCTCTCTTCGCTTTGTGGCTACATTACATTCTACTGTTAAAATTACTTTGTTTGCCTGTTGAAAAACCGGTAACTTATCATCTAATTATGATATATTACGATTAAACTGATATAGAATAATATATATTATAAGATATTGTATAGGATGATATCACCATGGTAAAACTAATCGAATATTTTAGATAAATATTTGTAATGGTAGCATTGTGTAAAGAAAACTCAGATCTTTGGTAGCCTTAAGTAAACTAACATGTGCTTACACGGTAGTCATTGTTCAGAAACCAGACGGTAATTAGAGGTTTTTTGTTGATTTATCATATTAATATATCATGATAAATCTCTTTTGTTTCAAAGCAAAGTACAGTGGTACATTGGTTCAGTAAATTCTTCCACGAGCTTTTTCTCTACATTTGACTTACACAAAGGTTTATGGCAAATACGATTTCTGATTTACAATTTCTAAAGGAGCACCTTCACTATCCGTTCGACCTACATACCTTAGTTTCAGAAAAATGATTTTTTTGTCTACATCAGTAATAGTGTCCATAACTCATCTTCAAAATTTGAGATTTCAAATCCATGTGTATCTATATTTATTTACGTTTGAAAGTTACATTTTCTGGCCAGACTATGCCATATATAAAAACATATATAGAAATAGACAGTGAAATTTCTAGTTTGAGGTATATTTGAAGGGATTTCCGTGCTTTTAAGTACTTCTTAAGACTATCAAAGCACAATAAAGACCCAAATCAATCCCCAAATATGCCGACTCTCCTCCTTTAAGTTGTTCTTTTTGTCAGATTACTTATTTTATATCTACACAGTATATATGCATCCTGCTGTAGTATATTCATCAATTTTTACATTGCTAGTATGACTTCGTCAATTATATAGTTTATCACTTGATCAATTGGGTTTATACGTTAATAATGTTATTGAGACCAACTTTCAATATTTAAATAATGCTTACAAATCTTAAGAAGCGAGAGGATGAAAAATAAAAAAGCCCATATAATTAAACATGATTCACCCAACCGCAGAAAATGTTATGTAAATCCGTGAATAAACAATGAATCGTTATGTTCGTCGAAATGTTTTTCATTCAGGGTTTTTGTGTTAATTAAAAGCAAAATGTGAATCAAAAAAATTCACTGCTAGCTTCCAAGAGATTTTGACTGATCTGACTGATAACTTATTGATTTTTACTTTGTGAAAATATCATTAGTGTACAGTATAAATAACATAAACATAATTCTTTTAAATATTTCAAAAAATGAAACTAATTTTCAATCAATCCAATGCAGCAAAAAAAGTTTAAAACGCTAATTAGACCCAATTAAAGGTGTTCTTAGTCATCTTTCTTATGATGCAGTTTCATGATCAGTACACGTCATAGTTACCTTTTATGAAAAAGTATCGATGGGCTCGATCTCGATATTTCGATTAAACATGACTTCGGGGGATCTTTGTAGAGCTGTGCCTAAATAATGAACCAATCGGCGACCTTAATAATTCTTGATTTTAAAGTCCTATATCAATATCTTTACTTTGGAGACATCAAACCTTTTTGGCTCAACTTTATGATTAAACTCTACCTAGCGCCCGATCTATAACTAATTAGATACCCAACCAACCTTGTGAGGCTTCGAGAAAATACCGTTTTATATGTGAAATACCTATAGTGTAAGGGAATGGTGTTCAACATTTTTTATTACCCATTTCAGGGTCTTTGCTCAACTCGAAATCCCATACAGAGCGTCCAAATGATTTTCGTATTATGCTATGCTTATAAAGATATCTTAATTTCAGTCGACATCGCCCTCCGACACAGTTGACATACCCATTTTAATATCAGAATCTTGGCTCAAATCGACATGCCATATTTTCGCCAGTCTATGTCGATGTCACCATCACGTCGGCATCTTAATGTCAGTCTATGTCGTCATCTTGACGTCAGTCTATGTCGGTCTATGTCGTCTTCTTGACGTCAGTCTATGTCGTCATCTTGACGTCAGTCTATGTCGTCATCTTGACGTCTGTCTGGCGTCATGTTAACGTCAGTCTATGTCGTCATCTTGAACCAACTTGATGATAAAATGGTGAAAACTAATAGTCAACGACAGCCACAATAGATATCAAACAAACGTCTTTTCAAATTACAAATGCAGAGACTTGGAAATATTGATAGTGGAAATGGGAGGCAACTCTTGTTTAATTTTAGATGACCAAAAATTTTTTAGGTGAACAAAAATCGATCACTTGATAAGCTTAGTTTAGTATTACATTATGTTGCAGTTCATCAAAATACTTTTCGATTAAAAAACTAAACCAATCATTGATATCCTTTTTGTGATGTTTATTTTTAAAAGTAAAAATGTAGTTAAGTAATATTTATTTGATTGAGGACTCAATCATGGGGCCATGGACTAGCACGATGGTCATTGTTCAGAAGGCAGAAGGTGAATGACGATTTTGTGTTGACTATATAGAAATAAATAAGATACTTTCGTTCCTAACCATGCTAACAACAAAGACTAAATGAGATACGTCTGACGTGGTGTATTTCAATTAATCATTATATGGTTTTCTACTTTTGATTTAAAAGATGGGTTCTGGCAAGTAGACGGACTCATCGTTATATTTTTTGTATAAGTCAGGAAATCACAACAGTCATTTCTAAACGAAGACTTGGTTCCACAGCTTGTTAAATATTAGTTTGGTTATGTGACGAGAACTTTTTAAAACATATCAACACTGAACACCAAATCATTGCGTTTGTTACTTGTCAATATTTAATTTCAATATTATTCTGTATTGTTTTATAATCAATCGATTTTCGAGCTCTCAAGTACTCTCGTCTACAGAATTGTTTGATAGCGATCTGTCAATCTTTAATACCGTACCACTTCTTTAGTGATTAATTGGTTTTCATTTCTTATTTTGTATTAATTACTTAAGTATATTGTACAAATAACACAAACTTTTATAGAATTAGAAAATGAAAAGATTGATTATCATTCAAACGTCTTGTTACTTGGAAGATTGAATTGTAGTTTTTTGGAGTAAATTAGGATGAATTGTGTATTGTTTTATTTTGTATTAAAAGTTGTGTTTGTTGTCACAGTGTCTGGCTTCTCACAGAGTCACTATAAACGTGTGTATATCAAAGATTTTGAAATATCTGGATACTATGATTCTAAATCAGATCTGTCTGTATTTTCCTGTTCAATAACTTGTAGTGAGTCTTCACAGTGTCGTTCATTTAGTTATAGATCTAGCAAGGATAATGATAACAATGATAACAATGATAATGTGAAGGATAATGCTGAGGATAATGACAATATAAATTGTTATTTGTATTCTACTGTTGCTATATTAACTTCGACGGCCATTCCTAAAACTGGATTTGAATATTATTGGAAGTTATCAGGTGAGATATCATTTTATATATCCACAATCAAAACACTTGCAATTAGAAAACATGAAAAATATCGATTGAATAAACAAACCAAGTATATAACGATCCTAACCGTAAAACGAAACCCGAAATCTTTAACAACATATTGGTGAAACATTGGTAGCAGCTAATGAACTTTTCACATGAGGAAGTGTATCAATCATTAGTGAGTAATTCATAATGAAAAGTTGTATCATTTGTCTAAAAGAGTAAGAATACTCTAGTTGACAGAAGATACTTTTCCATATCCGTTCTGAATATATAATGCTTTTTATATAGAAGGGAATGAAGATTTATTTTAGAACAAACGAGAGTTGAGTGAAATCATGATTCTGTTTACATGGTATCACGCAATTTGATTGGATAACAGCGGTCACGTGCATTCGGTTTATATCTGTGTAAACTGAATGTAAATATAAGCTCCGCCCCTTAACACTACTTTTAACATTGAGTTTGATTGACGTGGCCACTCTAAGGCGTCAGTTCATTAACCTTATGTTAAAATTTTAGGTATTTATGCGCGAATTTAGTGCCCGAAGTTGTTGTTATATTAGATAAGTATTTAAACATGTATTCGAGTTGATTTAATAATAAGAAATGACCTGAACATTTTTCAGTTTATCGATGTATAAACAGAAAAAACCCGTGTACACTGTATAAACCGCTACGCGGATTTATACAGTTTACGCAGGTTTTTTCTGTTTATACACATAATCACATAATATATTTTATGTTAGATTTTTTGTCTATCGACATCCTATTATCCCACCAGAAAATGAAACTCCGGGACAATATTACACACGAGGTGTTCTCATCGGATGTTCGGAATCATAGAGTTAAAATTAAATATTTATGTTCAATTCCCCACTCCCTTGTTAATTCACTGATTTTTTTTGATTCAGTAATTTTTTAATTTACATTTGATTTTGTGTGAGATCCGGAGGTCGGAATAACTTGACATTGTGAAGATGTGATACAGGAAACGCGACAATGGAGTCAAGGTATCAGCCGGAGGTCGTAATAACTTGACATTGTGAAGATGTGAAATAATAAAAGGTGACAATGGAGTCAAGGTATAAGCCGGAGGTCGTAATAACTTGACATTGTGAAGATGTGAAACAAGAAAGGCGACAATAGAGTCAATATATAAGCCGGAGGTCGTAATAACTTGACATTGTGAAGATGTGAAACAAGAAAGGCGACAATGGAGTCAAGGTATAAGCCGGGGTCGTAATAACTTGATATTGTAATAACTTGATATTGGTATTGCCATAATTCCTCATTTTTTAAATTCAAATTTCAGAATCCTGTCCTGCATCCTACCACAAGAATTCCCAGATCAAACTGTGTTTTAAAATGTTTCCAACTGATCCTGAGAAAAAGACAGTACTAGAAGCTGAGAAGAGATGTGAACAAGATGGCGGACATTTAATCATCATTGATACAGAGGAGAGACAGACATTTCTAGCTGTATTTCTCAAACAAGCCACAAGTAAAGATCCTTATGTTTATTATATTTCTAGTTTTGTCGATATTTATTTTAGGTATTTTAAGGTACAATTCTTTCATCATGGTGGTAGGCGGTATGAAATTAGAGTGTTTCAGATATCAGGTGTCCAGAGTAGTGCTTGGTATCGTCAATCATGCCACGATACGATACATAGTGCGATACAAGGGTCACGATACGATACATATTGCGATATGGGGTAATGGAATAAAATTAACATTTTATTTTCAAAGTTTCTCTATATATGTTAAGTCTTAACTTCATAACTGTGATATTTGGTAATATAGTTGATAGAAGTGGTTAGTGTCCACTGTCTTATAAAAAGTTTCTAAATGTATTAATGTATAATTTTATAACTGTGATATTTGGTAATATAGTTGATAGAAGTGGTTAGTGTTCACTTTCTTATAAATAGTTTCTATATATATTAATATAAAACTTTATAACTGTGATATTTGGTAATATAGTTGATAGAAGTGGTTAGTGTCCACTGTCTTATAAAAAGTTTCTATATATATTAATGTATAATTTTATAACTGTGATATTTGGTAATATAGTTAATAGAAGTGGTTAGTGTTCACTGTCTTATAAATAGTTTCTATATATATTAATATAAAACTTTATAACTGTGATATTTGGTAATATAGTTGATAGAAGTGGTTAGTGTCCACTGTCTTATAAATAGTTTCTATATATATATTAATTCATAACTTTATAACTGTGATATTTGGTAATATAGTTGATAGAAGTGGTTAGTGTCCACTGTCTTATAAAAAGTTTCTATATATATTAATGTATAATTTTATAACTGTGATATTTGGTAATATAGTTAATAGAAGTGGTTAGTGTTCACTGTCTTATAAATAGTTTCTATATATATTAATATAAAACTTTATAACTGTGATATTTGGTAATATAGTTGATAGAAGTGGTTAGTGTCCACTGTCTTATAAACAGTTTCTATATATATATTAATTCATAACTTTATAACTGTGATATTTGGTAATATAGTTGATAGAAGTGGTTAGTGTTCACTGTCTTATAAATAGTTTCTATATATATTAATTTATAACTTTATAACTGTGATATTTGGTAATATAGTTGATAGAAGTGGTTACTGTCTTATAAATAGTTTCTATATATATTAATGTATAACTTTATAACTGGGATATTTGGTAATATAGTTGATAGAAGTGGTTTATGTCCACTGTCTTATAAATAGTTTCTATATATATTAATTTATAACTTTATAACTGTGATATTTGGTAATATAGTTGATAGAAGTGGTTACTGTCTTATAAATAGTTTCTATATATATTAATTTATAACATTATAACTGTGATATTTGGTAATATAGTTGATAGAAGTGGTTTATGTTCACTGTCTTATAAACAGTTTCTATATATATTAATGTATAACTTTATAACTGTGATATTTGGTAATATAGTTGATAGAAGTGGTTACTGTCTTATAAATAGTTTCTATATATATTAATTTATAACATTATAACTGTGATATTTGGTAATATAGTTGATAGAAGTGGTTAGTATCTACTGTCTTATAAACAGTTTCTATATATATCAATTTATAACTTTATAACTGTGATATTTGGTAATATAGTTGATAGAAGTGGTTAGTGTTCACTGTCTTATAAATAGTTTCTATATATATTAATATAAAACTTTATAACTGTGATATTTGGTAATATAGTTGATAGAAGTGGTTACTGTCTTATAAATAGTTTCTATATATATTAATGTATAACTTTATAACTGTGATATTTGGTAATATAGTTGATAGAAGTGGTTACTGTCTTATAAATAGTTTCTATATATATATTAATGTATAACTTTATAACTGTGATATTTGGTAATATAGTTGATAGAAGTGGTTTATGTCCACTGTCTTATAAATAGTTTCTATATATATTAATTTATAACTTTATAACTGTGATATTTGGTAATATAGTTGATAGAAGTGGTTACTGTCTTATAAATAGTTTCTATATATATTAATATAAAACTTTATAACTGTGATATTTGGTAATATAGTTGATAGAAGTGGTTACTGTCTTATAAATAGTTTCTATATATATTAATGTATAACTTTATAACTGTGATATTTGGTAATATAGTTGATAGAAGTGGTTAGTGTCTACTGTTTTATAAAAAGTTTCTATATATATTAATATAAAACTTTATAACTGTGATATTTGGTAATATAGTTGATAGAAGTGGTTACTGTCTTATAAATAGTTTCTATATATATTAATATAAAACTTTATAACTGTGATATTTGGTAATATAGTTGATAGAAGTGGTTAGTGTCTACTGTTTTATAAAAAGTTTCTATATATATTAATATAAAACTTTATAACTGTGATATTTGGTAATATAGTTGATAGAAGTGGTTAGTGTCTACTGTTTTATAAAAAGTTTCTATATATATTAATGTATAACTTTATAACTGTGATATTTGGTAATATAGTTGATAGAAGTGGTTAATGTCCACTGTCTTATAAATAGTTTCTATATATATTAATGTATAACTTTATAACTGTGATATTTGGTAATATAGTTGAGAGAAGTGGTTAGTGTCTACTGTCTTATAAATAATTTCTATATATATTAATTTATAACTTTATAACTGTGATATTTGGTAATATAGTTGATAGAAGTGGTTTATGTCTACTGTCTTATAAACAGTTTCTATATATATTAATTTATAACTTTATAACTGTGATATTTGGTAATATAGTTGATAGAAGTGGTTAGTGGTTACTGTCTTATAAATAATTTCTATATATATTAATTTATAACTTTATAACTGTGATATTTGGTAATATAGTTGATAGAAGTGGTTTATGTCTACTGTCTTATAAACAGTTTCTATATATATTAATTTATAACTTTATAACTGTGATATTTGGTAATATAGTTGATAGAAGTGGTTAATGTCCACTGTCTTATAAATAGTTTCTATATATATTAATTTATAACTTTATAACTGTGATATTTGGTAATATAGTTGATAGAAGTGGTTACTGTCTTCTAAAAAGTTTCTATCAATTTCAGTGAAAAAATTGCAAAATCAAAATCTCCACTTTCTTATGGAATGAGAGGCATCGTCAACAAGTATCGATATACAACGTTGCGATGCGATACGCGTATCGTGGCATATCATATCGCAATATCGTATAGCAATATGCCAGAAATAGTCCAGAGTAATTGATACTTACAATTTCAAATGTAGCATTGGGATTTTTGTTATATAATTTTCAGATAAGACTGTTAAACGAAGTTTGGTAGGTGGTATAGAATTAGTAGCTGATACAGAAGACTGGAAGTGGTTTAATGGTGCCAAGGTAACTAACTGGTATACCAAGAACCAACCTGATAATTTTGGAGGCAAAGAGGATTGTTTACAGGCCGTTTTTTATACAAACACAACCAAGTTCAATGATATACCCTGTACCTCTTCTCAACACATCCCTTATATTTGTGAAATACCAATTGTTTGAGAAGGCACTGGTTTGTCATCTTCCGAATGTAACCTTTCAGAATCCACATAGTTAACAATTTAGATTTGTCAACTTCGGAATCAACCCTTTTAAAGAGTCCATATTTAATAGTGTATACTTTGTAAAAAAACGGACGTTAACATTTCGTTTAACTTTGATTTTAAAAACTAAAATGCCCTATTATTTGAGTTATGTTTTTTCGCCATGTCGAGAGGGTCAATCTAAATACTCCCTGTAAATTTCAGCTTGGTAGCGTGCATACTTTACCCTGGTCCAAAATCTGAGCTTTTCTGTTTTATTTTCAAAGTGCTTCCTACTTATACCAAAACGTACACGATCGTTATTGTCAAGGTGGCAGAAGATGAACGACGATTTCGTATTGACTATATAGAAGTAAATAAGATACTTTCGTTTCTTACCATGCTTACATCAAAGGATAAATGAGATACGTTTGATATGGTGCATTTCAATATATCTTGGTTTTCTACTTTTGATTTAAATGATGGGTTCTGGCAGTTGACTCATCGTTATAATCTGTGTATAAAGTACTGTACAAATTGAAAATATGTTGTCAAAAAAATTGGCAAGAAAGGTTTAACTGTTTCAATCTTGTGAGATAGGGCACGCTTACTCTATTAGGCACACTATTAATTTTAAAATACTTACTCACTTTTGATTGATATACTTCCTCATGTGAAAAGTTCGCCCCCTCGCCGTCCCAAAAGCATGTTTTTTCGGGCAAAAATATCATAACGTGGTTAGAAAATCGGGCAAACTCAGGTATTTCGCCCCCTCCCCCTCTCGGACGGAAACCTGGCTCCACCACTGCTACTGATTGCATCTCGAAATCTAGAAAAATATATCATAGAAAATATAGTAGCGTTTCCATATACGTACATAAAATATTACATAACAGGGCGCTTTAACATATCAGTCAAGATTTGCAATAGGGGGTGAGGGTGGGGGGATGCTTCCAAGGGTTAATGATTTCTAAGACCTCGAATCTTCATTGTTGCTGTACGTCTTTATAGACGTAGAATTTAGTATCAGTTAAAGGGAGAGATTCGCCATCCGTTTGATCAATCGTGCTCAGAAACAGTAGTTTTTAGCTAAGCTGATCAGTAAGGGTGTTAACAGCTCACAATGAAATTTTAGCTTTAAATCGAATTATTAGATTGTTTTAAAGGAATGATGCGATTTCAGTATATTTCTCTTTTCTAGTACCTCTGTAAACCAACTCAACCCCCCAAATAAGCGAATCTGTCCTTTTAACAGAAGCTAATCGACCACAGAGGGTGGAAAAAGACTAAATTGACTCTTATCTTCTCTACCAGCACTTTTAAATGTATTGTGGAAAAACAATTTTAGGACAGGACAATACTTTCAGAAATTCCATGTAGCTTTTAATTACAAGGGCTTGGCTTATCTCTATTTTTCATTTAACCAAATACTGGTACCAATTTGTCAGGTATTGATTACGCTGTGTTCATGGTTTGCACTCATTCCTTGATCACGTCATCAAAACCTCAATTTCAGTCTCGTTGTTTGATTGGTCAGAATGGAGACAAGTCACGTGTTGAACACCCGCTGCTCCTCAGTCTGGACAAGAACTTCCATCAGGTGAAGATCTCTCAAACCTTAAATATTTACATTCGTCTTTTCATCCGCTTGTTTTTTTTACATTCAGCTTTTTGTCGAGTTGAAGGGACGACTTGTTGACTAAAAAGCTGATAGTTCAGACTCTGTGGTGTCGAGAAATCTCAAATTGAAGATGAATTTGAAGATGAGCTCGGCATGATTGTGATGTTGTCAAGATGGCGGACGAGGGTTCGTCCCTTATCTGATTATTCTTGTTCAATGTCGCTATTCATGTCTCCAATACAGTAACTTGCTAGAGAAGAAAGACATTGTGGTTATCTGCAGTGGTCAATCTCTCGCGGCATACAAACGTGGTGTGATTTCTTCTTTGATTCCTTGAGCCTTGAAGTCTCCCTTACAGTAACGGTAGAGAACACAAGCGTAAGCTAGAACATATATATACGAGCTGAAGAGAAGGAGGGGGGGGGGGGGGGGGTACTGTTGCAGTCTCTCTCTATTAGTATCGGTAGGGAATACAAGAGTATATCATATACGGGCTGATGCGATGGGTAGTGGGGTGAAATTCTCCCTTCTTAATTCGTATTCTTAGAAAGCCATGATTTGACAGAAATGGGTTATTTGGTTGGTAAATTCAGATGCTGGGCTAGGATAAATTATGCAATCCCTTGATGAATAATTGTAGAAGGGTAGAGTTGGCATTACTGCTAAGCAACCAGAGCTCGAACCAGAAAATAAATTTTTATGGTTTAGATGTCCGGCGTCTGGTTCTTCAGGGTACAAACGTTTCAGCATGGCCTTTGATTTGTGATTATATCTGCAGCCTTAAAGCTGAGGTTGTCGTTTCGTTCACTTTCATCTTGACGCCGGAGTTTCATTTTAAATAGTGACAATGTTGACTGCATTACACCCCCTTTGAACAGATCTCAACAACCAATATAGAAATATTTTGAATATTTATTAATGAATTATTTTATACAAAAAGAAAAACCATAGTCGAGTCGATACAAAGGAACATACGAAAGTATCTGTGGTACTTAGGTAAGTTGGTTCGTATTAAGGGAAAGTTGGTTCGTATTAAAGGAAAGTTGGTTCGTATTAACAGTGTTTTTTTCGTATCAAATGGGAACTGACTGACTAAACCTGATATTTGACACATTTCAGATATTGAGCAGCATCTTTCAAGGCTTGGGGAGTGTAATAGTAGAGGAGACGATCCTTCCACACTTGCCATGACAAAATAAGGTCAAACGCTAATTTTCTACAGGAACGAGAGATGCGAAGAACAAATATTTATATTATGGAGTCTTGTTTCCTGTCTGCCCGAGATCCATCCTCTTTAGACAGTTATATTTACAAATGTCTTTACTCCCGTGGCAAAAACTGGCAATGGATAATATGAGAGTCTAAATTATTAACCTGAGATTTTACACAGACAATAAATATATTCGGTTCTATAGGATCAGTTGAAAACTTTTTTATAAGATCAACTTACAATCCCGAAATCACTGTCTTCCAGTTGGTCCTTGGACTTGATCTCTTGGCAATGGTTTTACAAGACTAACAAAATGTGTATAACCAGCATTATGGTTGGTGACTCTCTCGTTATAATATTTTGTTCCCGAGGTCACACTTTTCCCAGTAACTTCCCATTCTTTGGACGAGATTTTTGATTTATAGATTTGTCTTGCTTGTACGTATTTTTATTTTAACAGAATTCTTTTTTAATACAAGCGTCATGTCTTACCTTCTGTTTCTCTCGAAGATCATGGTTTACAGTCGGTACTCTGTTTTTCTTGGTAGCTTCAGGAACAAACATTTTCAGAGCTTCCAGATTCATAGAATGAATGGCATGAGCCACAGTTTCGTTGAAATTTGCCGAAAATCCTGAATTCACCAACAAATCATGGCATTCCTTGACAGGAGCGCCTGAAGTGATGGCGGCCAAGATGGCCAATCCAGAAACCAATAGCATCATTTTCTACCAATATATTTTCTAATTTTGGGCCTTTGTAATCCCCCGGGTCTGTTTTATACCCGAGTTTCAGCCCAGATTACGAGATCATCTTATCTTGGTTTAAAAGTAAACAATGATTGTTTGTTTTAGAGAAGAATAGATCATTGTTATTGAATATCAATTGAAATATACAGAGTAATATACACCAACATTGTGGCATGCTGAACATTAAATCTCAACCGGCCCAACAACAACGGAAAGTTTGACACACGTCGCGGTGTGCCATCAGGGTCGATGTACGTTTTAACCTTATCGTGTGGTAGGACAGATAGGATAAACACCAACATAGTAGATTGAGCCCTGGACAGAAAGTATAACATACACCAACATTGTAGCGTGGATTGATATCTGGTTGGTAATTGAATATGGAAAGGTTAAAACCTCCACATGACATTCTTATGAGATATAAAAGAGTATTTCTAAACAATTCAATGAAACAGTGACATTAAGTGTGTTTCCTAAAATGTCGAACAAGCTTGAAGGTCACTATTTGAAATACCATTTTAGTCCAACATTAGCGAATTCATAATATCGACAAGTTTTACTGGAATTAAAGAAACCACAAACAAAGGACGGCAAATTGTAATGGTCCAATATGACGCTTCATAACCTTCTACCTTTCTTCAAGTTCAGGTCGACCACACTTTCAAAATCTACTACCTTTTTAGTTTACTAAGATCAAGGGGGTCCCCAGAATGTTTTCTATCGGGGTGGGGGGGGGGGGGGATTTGACCTAGAAATAATGCACTCTGAAGTATGTGTATATCTGAATAAATATATTACGGTATTAAAACTAAATCTAACCACACTGCCCAGTTCTGTATAATTTGAATTTGGATATATTTTACCAGTGGAGGGGTTAAAATGACACTACTTGCCCCAGAGTGCGGCTAGCAATGTAAGTTGGTGATTAAAGAATGTTAAAGTTCGTTAATGTAGTAATGTTGTCAAACCAAAAGTAGTAAATATTGAGACCGGGCAGAAATGGTTTTTTTTAAGGTAGACCTGTAAATGATTTATTGTTGTAGGGCAGAAATGATTTTTTTACTGTAGATATTTTTTTTAGACAAACCTGTTAAGAGAGAGTCGCGGCACAAATAGAGGACAGACTGACACAATGGGGGATAAATCCGCAACTCTGTAGAGGTGTATTAGTGACAAGCCTCCGATGTCTGAAAGGGATCTCCCTAGAAAATAATCTAAAAATTGAATTGATTTTGG